AAATGCAAGTTGAAGGTGTAGATGGAGTTAATATTTTTGATAACTCTGAAAGCTCAACTGGATCAAAACAGTTCAAACACAGATGAGGTTCTGCAGTTACCTCTGATGCTGCCTCACTTACTGAGGAAGAAGAAATTGCATTAGGGAGAATGCTAATGATTTTGTTTCTAATAGAATTAATTTTACTTGTGAAAAATCCCATAAAGTTATTGCTGATGAGGGCTAAGGGAATAGATGGTTCAGAGCTATGATTCTGTGCAAGTTTGGCAACTGTACTGAAAAGAAATTTTGGATTATTCTTATTTTCCTCAATTAGCGCTGAAAAATAAGCAGTTCAATTTTATAGAAGCTTACTTTTATAAAGCACAAGACTATTTTTCCAGGATAGGTAGGACTCCTCCTGGTGTGTAGAATGCCATGTTCTCTCCAATTTTCTAAAGTTTTGTTTTAAAGTTCGCAAATGAGAATTAAACCAGGGAGCCAACTTCCTGTCCCTAACTGCCTTCTTTTTTAAAGGGGCAACATCATCGAATGCCACACGTAAAGAGAAAGTAACATTATGAACTAAAGCATCAATTTGTGAAGGGCTAGAGATACATATATTGCCCTCTGCTACGTTTCTCTGAGATGCTGAGGACAGTAAAGATGGAACAGTTGATTTAAAAGATGCAACTGCGTTGTCAGATAGAGACCGACTATAGTGAAATTTACTTTCATGTCTCGAGAACTCGTCATCGTCGTCGTCTTCCTCCGCTTATCCAGGTCCGGGTCACGGGGGCAGCATCCCAACTAGGGAGCTCCAGACCGTCCTCTCCCCAGCCACCTCCACCAGTTACTTCGGCAGGACCCCAAGGCGTTCCCGGACCGGATTGGAGATGTAACCTCTCCAACGTGTCCTGGGTCGACCTGGGGGCCTCCTGCCGGCAGGACATGCCCGAAACACCTCCCCAGGGAGGCGTCCAGGAGGCATCCTGACCAGATGCCCAAACCACCTCAACTGACTCCTTTCAATCCAGAGGAGCAGCGGTTCTACTCCGAGTCCCTCCCTAATGTCCGAGCTCCTCACCCTATCGCGAAGGCTGAGCCCAGCCACCCTACGGAGGAAACTCATTTCGGCCGCTTGTATTCGCAATCTCGTTCTTTCGGTCATTACCCAAAGCTCTTGGCTATAGGTGAGGATTGGGACGTAGATCGACCAAGAGCCTGGCTTTCTGGCTCAGCTCCCTCTTCACCACAACAGATCGGCTCAGCGTCCACATCACTGCAGACGCCCAACCAATTTGCCTGTCGATCTCCCGATCCCTCATACCCTCACTCGTGAACAAGACCCCGAGATACTTAAGCTCCTCCACTTGAGGTAGGACCTCTCTCCCGACCCGGAGTTGGCAAGCCACCCTTTCCCGGTCTTGAGAACTCAGTTATAAAATACTCAAAGGTTGTCAAAAAGTGGTCCGAGAGGACTGGATTATGTGGAAATATCGTTATTTCCTCACACTCTATCCCATAAGTCAGTACAAGGTCTAATGTATGATGGCAGGAGTGGGTGGAGCCATGTATTCTTTGGGTAAAACCAACTGAGTCTAAGATATTACTAAAGGCTACTTTGAGGCTATCATTTTCATTGTCCACATGAATGTTAAAATCCCCCACTACAATGACCTTATCAGTAGTTAATTAAATTGATGTTGCTGCTTTGCAATAAAGAATTCACTGCAAAATAATAAAAAAGACAAATCCAATATTTGGTTTTCCCACTAATAAATCAATGTTGATAATGTCCAATTATGATCTCTGGCTATATTTTATTTTTATTTTTTATCTTGAGTACAAATATATAATTTTTTCTCTTTTTTTTTTGTTGTTTTTAGCACATTAAAAAGATCCCTCGATGTGTTAAAGTTGCGTAAGTTCCTAACATTTTTTATATTCACCTGTTTCTGCATTTAATTCATGTAGATTTATAGATTTAAAAGATTTTTACTCTTCAGAGACTGAACAAGTGAGTTTAACGCATCTACAGTTGGCCCACAGCATGAGGGAGGAGGCCAAGAAGCTGGAAGACTTTAGAGAAAAACAGAAAGAAGCACGGAAAAAGGTTTGTACATTTTTTACAGGTGCTGTCATGTGTCATTTCACCCCATGTGATGTGAATATTTGACACTAGGATGTGGTCTTTTTATTTAGATAGAACAACAGATGGATGCTGTCCACAAACAGAAGTCTTCACACTTCAAGAGGACAATGGATGTAAGTAGAGATGTTTTCCTGATCATGTACCATTTTTGAAGTAAAACAAAAGCAGAAGTATTTGAGCAAAGTTGGTCAACTATTTAGTCATGCTGGCAGAGTTCCAGTCACATGTGAAAATGATGTCCTCCCCTCGCGTTCTTCCTGTTTGATAGAGGAACCAGTTTTGATCAAGAGGAAACAAAACATCCTCAAGAAAAGCCATTCCAATTATTTCAATCTATGGAAAAATGGAGAAGTAATTATAGGGGATGAATTTCCTCTTATACATGTGATGAGTCCTAACTAGGGCTGCAACAAACGATTATTTGGATAATCGATTAATCGAATGGGGTCTCGACACGATTAATCGATTAATCAGATTACATGGGGAAATTTTTAAAAACTGCTAGGGAAACGTTATTTCTCTCCTTCCTTCACTTTATTTAACACAACATTATTAGAAAACAGTTCAATAGCAGAAAAACAACATGCCATCACCTAAATTGTCTTGTAAGGTGTATAGACAGAGACCCTAAGCTACATCTATCTGTGACCTAAAATGCTTGGTCCAAGTTAAACAGCTTAAGGGCAATTCTCATGTGTTTTGTTTGATCTCATCTGTTGACATTTATTTATATGTAATTAAACATAGGCTGTGAATTAATCAAAATTGATCACTATTTCCAAAATTGACTGAAAAAATACCAAATAAAGCAAAAGTAAATGAATGCCATCCTCCTTGCGATGATGCCCTGGGCAACTGCCATAAAGTCACATCAAGAAATGCTGCTGATCATTCCAATGATCCCAAATAGACTCACATTAGGCCACTGAAAGCAACTGAACCCAAAAATATATTAACCAGTATATAACTGCACTCTCACACAACACGCCTGCAGCAACAGTTAGGACTCCTCCCTCTCTTTTAAAAGCGTTTTTGCTTCTGAGGACATTGTGGTTGTAAAACCACACGCTAGTAGTCTGGCCCCGGTGTGATCAACCAGTTTCTGCGGGAATGTGACGGTGGAACCAGGGCCAGATTAACACTTTGTTGTACCCTGGGCAACAATATTCAAGGGCTCCATCATCACAACCCAAGGATCACCATAATGTGGTCACATACAGAATATTTTACTGTAATATGCAGTAAATATACTCAATACTTGAATGCCTGACAACACGTAACCTGCCAAGAGTAACCTTTGACCCACCTCGTGTGGACTGACCAATGAGGAGAGGGTCTTAACTTGAGGCCCTCTCTTCATTGGTCAGTCTGCATGAGACTGACTCTCAACTGACGTTCAGTCATAGGCAGCGAAGCGTCTCTGTGCAGCGCAAAAGCCCGGGTGGACAGTTTGTTTAATGTAGGGTGATCATATTTCCATTTCCAAACAAGAGGACAGGGGATCTGTGCCTATGACGTCACACTATGGCAACGCCACACAAACCATGTTGGGACCCATTTTTTGTAAGAACTAAATTAATATCAGATTCTGCCAATTAAAGGGCTCTAAAACAATTCATATGTAAATATTTTGCATATTTACTGCAAAATCTCATTTTTCTGCTTTAGTGCTGCAACAAGGTTTTATTAATAATAAATTATTATACCTTTTGTTTTACTACAGCATCGGTAAGCTTCCTGTGCACAGATTATTAAGGATGCTTGTTTCAGCTGTGAGATTAGACGATAGGATCAATGAAAAAATAAGTTGTCACACACTCCATGGAAACTTTCAGAGAATCCACAAATAGTGGCTTTCACATGGTTTTGTTACTTTTAAAAAGTTTAGAAAAGCAGCAGATGAGACAGCATGTCTGATAATTTAGTTTTTCATCTGATAATATTAGAACATGTCAGTAATGTCTGAGGGGCTTTTATAAACACTGTATAACTAACACTACTGGAGAGGGTATGAATTAGACAGAGGCTTCTGGGGAGCCCAGTTATGGGGGGGGGGGCATTTTGCTTTGGCCCCCAAAATGTCTTGAAACGGCCCTGGGTGTGTGACTGAGTTTTGAAGGTGATCTGAATTGTATCAGATGTATAAATATAACATGTGTATAACTTATTGTTTTTTACTGGTAAAAATGTGTAGTGGAGATAAATCTACCTACATTTTACTTTTCAACACTTTGTTTTGTTTTCTTGTTTTTATTGAACTATTTCCTGTCCTGTCTGTCTCTCATCTTCCTGCATCTCCTCTTAATTCTCCAGAAAATCTGTTGCCTGGATTCTTACCTTTTCACCTCATCAGTTACTTTTGAGCAGATCAAAGGGATCTCCTGACCACACAGCGGAGAGCGCGTTTTCGATGCTGCGTGAGGTGACATCACCACAGCACAGGTGATGAGCTCCGCAGTAGCACGCTTCAGGCACAAATAAGACAAAATAGAGAACATGTGCGGACATGAACGATCGTGTGCTAATTATAGTTTTTTGGTTGAACCACTTTGAGAATGGACCGTGCGCTGGAAGCAGCTGCCTGGATCGCTGCACAACAATGCGGAACCGGTTCGCAGCAGCGCAAGTCTGCCGGCTCTCCCTCGCGCTGATCTGCCGGTACCGGCTCTCCCTCGCGCTGATCTGCCGGTACCGGCTCTCCCTCGCGCTGATCTGCCGGCTCTCCCTCGCGCTGATCTGTGGGCTCTCCCTGGCGCTGACCTGCGGCTCTCCCTCGCGCTGATCGGCTCTCCCTCGCGCTGATTTGACTTGCTCTGGTCTGCGCGCAATGGCGGGCGGGAAGGGGGGGCGCTTTTGGAAGAGTTGTGCGACACAACGAATCGATGACGCAATTTGTTGCCAACGCTTTTAGTAATCGATTTTCATCGAATTTATCGATTCGTTGTTGCAGCCCTAGTCCTAACTGTGGTTCTGTCCTCAGTCTAAGAAGACGTATGAGCAGAAGTGTCGAGACAAAGAAGAAGCAGATCAGAACATGAACCAAAACACCAACACTAGCAACACCAAGCTTGTAGAGAAGGTAAGTAAACAGGCTAGTAGCCAGTTTTATTTAAATACCACAGAAGATGATTATGCCTGTCACACAAGAACTACGGTAGTCTGTACAAAAAAGGTACATTTGGGTGGCACAACACCAGCATCTCACTGGGAGGTAGCCTAAAACTAAAGGAACGTTAGCCGTTGGATACGCCAGAGGCGAGTGTCTAAAATAAGTACCCGTGTTGTAGATCCACTTTGTTCAAACATTTCAAGACAAGTGCCAGAATCATCCTTGTGGATCACAAAAATGTGAAGTCGAAGTCCCATTAGTCATCTTCACACACTGGTGAAATGACATCTCCTCATTTGACCCATCCCTGTTAGGAGCAGTGGGCTGCAGTAGTGGTCGTGCTCAGGAAACTGTTTGGTGGTCAAACCCCCCAATCCAACCCCTCAAAGCTAAGTGTCAAGTGAGGAGGCATTGGGTCCCATTTTTAAAGTCTTTGGTATGACTGTGAATTTGAACCCCGATCTCCCAGTCTCAGAGCGGACACTCTACCACTAGGCAACTATTTTTGTTGTTTTAAAATGCAACCATTTTATAGTTATTAAAACAATACTGCTAAAAAATAAACCATATATCAATAAAACAACAACTTGCTGAAGATAAAATTCCCTAAAATTTTAGAAATGCATCTGCACCTCTATCTCTATCTATGGGCGTTCCTCAAGGGTTGATACTGGGCCCAACCTTATTGAAAATCTATATTAATAACATTGTTCACGCTGTTGACAGTTCTCATTTACATTTATATGCGGACGACAGATCTTCCTTGAATGCAGCTTTGTCCTCCTTGCAACACAACTTTAATTATCTTCAACATACCTTCATCTTCATTTAAACACAAGTAAAACAAAGTTCATAATCTTCAACCGTAACTTACTGCATTCAACTTGCCAGCCTAGTATTGTTTCCCTGGATGGTACAGAACTACAGCTTGGCAGTTCTTATAAGTATCTGGGTATCTGGCTCATTACTTTCTAAAGTCAAGTCAAGAATTGGGATTCTATACAGCAACAGGTCATCCTTTACTCATTCTGCAAAGCAAACCTTGGTCAAAATGACAATCCTTCCATCTTGGATTACGGTGACATCATTTATAGGACTGCTTCCAAAAAACTTCTTCCTGAACTTGATGTCATTTATCACTCAGCAATCCAATTCGTCACTGGTGCCCCTTTCACTTCTCATTATTGTGATCTGTACTCACTCGCTAACTCCATTCCCGCAGGTTGCTACATTGGTATCAGTTTATATACAAAACAGTCATCGGTAAAACCCCATCGTATTTTCGCTCATTACTCATCACTTCCAACTTTCCAGTAATGTAATCTCTATGGTTATTCCCAAAGCTTGCACCTCCTTTGGCTGCTCCTCATTAAGGTTTGCTGCTTACAACGACTGAAATGAGCTGCAAAAATCATTAAAGCTCACTACCTACATTCCATTGTCTACCTTCAATAATTCATTGTAACTCGGGATGCACCGATACCGATACCAGTATTGGTATCTGTAAAAGTTAACCAATACCAGGAACGACACCAATGCAGTTGCCTGAAAGTGGCTTCACTCTAACTTGTCATTTCTGTTTCCCTAATATTTTAGTTTTGTGATCATTTCTATTCATATATTTTATTTTTTATCTACCTCACAATCTTTTCCTGTTGAAACCAGAGAAGAAAATAAAACCTGTATTCCAATTCATTGCATTTTTTGTGTGTTAGAAGTATCGGAATCGATAATCGATATTTGCGAGTACTCAGATACAAGTATCGTTATTGTATTGGTTTAGAAAAAAGTGGTATTGTTGCATTGTAACCAATATTTTCTGATCAATGTGCCTGCTTCTGAGTACTTAAAGATCTGTTTTGTTTGGTTGTACATGATGAATATGAGAACAGCCCTTTGTCTTTATGTCTAACTCTTTTGTCTTATTTTTATCTAGTTTGTTTTTATCTTATCTATCTGTCGTTCTTTGGTGTAAAGCTAATTATTTTTCTGTTGCTGCTGCCTCTTGGCCAGATCGTCGTTGTAAATGAGAATGAGTTCTCAATTGGCTCATCTGGATAAATAAAATAAGATTTGGGGCCTCCACAGAATCACTCTGAGAGACACAAATGGTCCCAGGGCCATTCTAGATGTTAGATTTTAAAGTAGACACGTGTTCTCTTAAACTGGTTAGAAATTGAATGTCATTGACCAACTATGCTCTTAACAAAGTGCAAGTGCAGTATGAATTAACCACATTAAGGAAATACTGCGTTAGCCATTGGTGAATCTGGTTTCTGACCAAACCTTCTCTCTCTTTTGAAACTTTTCCATCCTCCAGCTCCAGTCAAAGGCACAGCAGGCCAAACAGAGTGCAGAAGAAGCAGGTACGTTATCCAACCATCCCGGGATGACCTAACTGGGCCATGTTATGATATTTGTTTTATCTGGCTGCTTTACATGGAGCCTGTCTATCACACACAGTTCAGTACTTTACAATTCAACCATAGCCTGCATACAAAAGATGGATGTTCGTTACAATCTGAAAGGTCAATGCAGGGTGAAAATATCTGCTGGCTTCCCATTAGGCCATGAATATTCATCTCTTTAGGTCACATGAATTCAAAGTGTATTGAAAAGACACTGCCTCTTCTTTGATTTAAAACTTTATAACGTAGTGACTATCAATGCTCATCTTTCCTATCAGGCAAATGCAGGTCTCAGTGTTGAGACTAGTGTGGGTTCATTGCTTTACCTGTTATAAAAATTTGCATGGCTGTGTTTCAGACAGAAGAATGGACTGCATCATATTGCACATTTATGAATAATGATGGATGATAAAAGACCTGGGGTCTCTTTTATAAAACATTGCGTAGAATCCTTACTAAAACTGTACTTGAGCTCAGCAAAAAATAATTTACTTACGCCGAGTAGGTTTGTGACCCATAAAACATGGAGTATGCACAGCTTCACGCAATCTCCGCTTCATAAATCACAAACTTCTTAGAAAGGTTCTCAGGTGTTTTTTGATCCCTTCCCACCCTCAACATGCCCACTTTCTGCCATATATGGTCAATACAAAGTGCCTTGTGGATCTCATGCATATACGTAAGCCGGCTCGTTACAGCGTTTCACCGTTAACGATGGTGACCGCAGATCAAGGAAGCGCAATTTCACTGAAGCAGAAATTGAGGTACTTGTGGGTCAGGCAGAAAAATGAAAGGAAGGGCTTTTGCAAAACAAATAAGAGAAAATACACGGAGTGGCACAGCGTTGCTGAAGCCGTCAATGCTGAGTTCTTCAGAGAGGTTTGTGGTGGATATAAAAAAATGCTCCAAATGAGATTCGATCACCAGTCTCCCAGAGGAAAGTCATGTGCACTAACCAGTCAGCAAAAGGGACATCTCCCTTACCCAAGTAGCCAGGTCGCATCATCAATCGAGTCACAGTGACAGGACACTCACACTGTCATAGACACATGATATTCTGTCTCAATCTGTCCCCCTACTGACATTCTGCATTTTGTATTCTGCTCTTCAGGCTGTGTGTGTGTGTGTGTGTGTGTGTGTGTGTGTGTGTGTGTGTGTGTGTGTGTGTGTGTGTGTGTGTGTGTGTGTGTGTGTGTGTGTGTGTGTGTGTGTGTGTGTGTGTGTGTGTGTGGTGGTGGAGGGGAGTTTTCTTGTTCTGTGTGAACACGAAGCGGTACAAGTGATAATGCTGCTGGAATTCATAATTTTATCCTTCTCAGCCGCAGCACTGCAGGTGCTCTCCATGTCCAAAATGTGCGTAAGCAAGGTCCTTCATCAACTTAAAGTTGCACACATTTTTCCGCTACGTTTTCTTTTAAAAATCCCAAAGTTTGCATGGAAAGTTGCTTACGCAGTTTTCTGACCCCGTTCTGTGCGTAAAGCAAGCTTGATAAATGAAGCCCCTGAACTTGTTTAACACCTTTCAGAGTCAGAGGACTCCAAAGCGCTTTACACTATGATCAATATTGCAAAAAATTGCTATGACTGCAATCAAATTTTGACTATTGTATTCCAGCTGACATGCATTTACATTCCAATCTGATGACCTCTAACTGCACTTGGTGCCAAGACCCAGCTTATGGTCTGATCTTTTTTTAATTTGTCTTTGAGGACACCACTGCCAAGCAGCAATAAAATAATCTGATCTTTTTCCTGATCCGTGGCATTATTGCATTTGTTTCATTTTATTCCTTTGGGATAAACTGTTCTCAGAGCTGCACAAAGACCAGCAGCTGTCCTTAAAACCAGTCTAATAATAATCATTAATGCATGATTGATGATGTGTATGGTTGACATGTAAAACATATTTCACAAATGAATGCTCTGCATGGCAGTAACAGCCACTTTCATGGCCACATCTGATTTAGATCATAAGAAAGAGAGAGATTTTATCATAACTACTGATTTCACTGCATTGTTAATATTAGTTGTGTGTTTTGCAGCTAAGATGCAGCCTGAATAAGTTTATCTGTGTCTCTGGTAGACAGATTATACCAACAGAACGTGACCTCGCTGACGAAGATCAGAGACGACTGGCTGAAAGACCACATCAGCACTTGTGAGGTAAAGACTGTGACATTGCCATGAATGCAACACAGAAACATAAGAAACAAAAAAAAAAAGCTGAATGTCTGAAACGCTTTAATCACAGAACTTTGAGAGACAATCAGTGGAGCGAATTAATTTCCTAAGGAACACCATCTGGACTCATCTGAACCAGCTTTCCCAGCAGTGTGTCACCACAGATGAGGTATAACTCCGATACAAAAGCATCACTGTTATGCAGAACACCACACACACACACACACACAAACACACACACACACACACACACACACACACACACACACGCACACACACACACACACACACACACACACACACACACACACACACACACACACACGCACACACACACACCATTTCATATCTGCATCACCATGAAACACTTGCAAAACTCTAATGATCATAGGTCAGCTGGCAAAAGGTAAGGGGGCTACAAGCTGCACTGTAAAACACAAAATGCCAACCCTAAATCATTTTAAATACAATGCGAATTTCAGAACTTGTTTTGGGTCTCTCTCGCAGCAAGTTTCTCTTTTTAGTTAAAACCTGCTGACAAATCCTCATTTTTCCCTGCTCGCACCAAACACACACATTTAATAACTACCTTTATGCCACGGCATTCAGCAGCTTCAGAGTCAGGCGTTTCCGAGCAAAACAAGTAAATGACCTCACTTAACTCTGACTGAATGCTGCTGGATTTATAAAACTGCTGCATCAGACAAAAGTGTTCATTTCATTGTGTTGTTGTTTTTTCATGTCTTGCTGCTGAGTTTGTTCCAAACAGAGGCAAAACTAGATCAAATATACAGCACTATAAGAAAATCAGATCAATGTCAGGGTTTTATTTACAGCTTATTTTAGAACTTTTTTGTCAAGAACACATTTTGAGATGACAGTGATGATTCAGCTTAGATGAATTGATCTTACTGAATAAACTTTTGTTGTATTAATCATAAAAGACCCTGACCTTATTTCCTGTGTGTGTGTGTGTGCTCTCAGCTGTATGAGGAGGTGAGGAAGTCACTGGAGCAATGTGATATTCAGGAAGACATCGAGCATTTTGTCAACCTCAGACGGACCGGAGACAAACCTCCAGGTAGGACTGCAGCAGCAACATCATATTATTGACAAATAATAACAAAGAATTTTAAAATTAATATAAAAAACACAACCAGTTGAGCCAGTAAGTGAGGGGCATCGGTGTGTGTCTTGAGCAGCTCAGGTTCTGTATGAGAACTTCTACAGCGGTCAGAAGTCTCCAACCGGAGCTCCGCCCTCTCGACCCCTACCACCTCCAGCTGTCAGGTAAACACTGCGGTGTGTGTTTTAGTCTGTTCTCTCAATATTTTAGAACATGTGCTTTACCACTTTTATAAACATTGATGGCTAGATGTTATCTGTGTTGTGTGAATTTGCAGAAGAGGACCGTTACCGGACCCAGCACAGAACAGCAGGGGTAAGTCATGGCCAAGTGTTTTGTGAAAGAGAAAAATAGCAATAGTTATAAAATAATGAGGCTGCAAACTTTGCGGTAATATATTTTTGTGTTATTTTCCAAACATTTATTTTTATTTTAAGGGTCTGTCTTGATAAATAAGGAAGTTAAAAAGGGAGAAAAAGTCATGTCTTGGGTTGTGAACTTATCCTGACTCATCAGTTAGTTTAATGAGCTGCACATGTGTGTTTTCTGAGTAACGTGGGTATCTAGGTCACTTTCACTGCAGATAATTTGCCTTTAAAATGTGGGAACATGAATGCATTTAGAAGATGTTGTGAGCACTTGCAGTTCTACAAAACAATCAGCATGCAGAGCTGCAGTAATTACAGATGCAACTAAAAAAATTAGAATATGGTGCAAAAGTGAATTTATTTCAGTAATTCAACCTAAACGGTGAAACTAATATATGGGCTAAACGCCTGGAAAGGGTTCCTGAGCCTTTAGATGGTCTCCCAATCTTGTTGGATTACTGACATAAAAGGGCCATATTCCCATAAGCTGTCTTGTTACAGGAGGGTGTTTATGCTTGTGATGAGGAATTCAGTGGTAGGTCAAAGGTCAGAGAAGCAATAAAGCCAGGGTTGCTTCCTGAAACGCATCAGTAAAGATGACAGCCCTAACCCTATGGACCCTATAAATAGTCACAGCAACTCGTGTATTACGTCACAAAGCTTGCGCAGACACATGATCACGTTCTCCTGTATGATGGTCAAAAGCAGAAAAAGAAATGGGAAAGAACTTTGGGAACAAATGTCCTAGTTCCATCTGTGCAATCAGCTGCAGGCGTTTTGTACCATATGACTGAATAGTAATCTGGAGCCCCTCGTGTGACTAGTGTTAAATAGTATGAGGTGGTGAGCCACTGAGCATCAGTAACGCTGCCATTTGACAACCGGAGGTGACGAACACCAAAAATATAGTGGATTTTAACACCCACCAGTGAATATTAGTTTTTGACAACTCACTTGCAAAATATTCCAAAACTGCACTTCCACGTGTTCTTGTAGATAGTTTTACTGCTGATGTATAATTCAACCTACATCCACACATCATCAGTTGTTGTTTTGGGACTGAGCTGGTCGATGTTGTCTTAAATTGCAGAGAATGCGACCTATGCAGTGGCGCAGGACCCCGGCTACAGCATCATCCGTTTCTGATGCGCAGACCTGCGGCTGCTCTGATGCAGAGAAGGGTTGCAGCTCAGCACTTCCTACTTTGTGATTTTCCTGTCAATAAAACATCACATCAGACAGAAACAGCATCACAGACTTACGATTTTTTTCATGCTTCACTTTGTTATACACAGCAGGCCTGTTAAAGCCAGTCCACTTTACAGGTTTTATGTAAATAAAAATAAACTCAGCCCAATAAGGATTTGGTGTTTATTTATGTTGCCGGGTGACCTTTTTGCAAGATTCACACAATAAGACATCATCTGTTTACCTGTTTTCATTTCCTCTGAGATGTGAAAGTAGCCGACCACGGTTTGTACCGCCCTGCTTTGATTAGTTTTTTATACACCCCCTTTGGGACTCCCAACAATCTTAAAATAACACCAGATCTCACTGTACAGAGGTCATATTAGGATGAGGTGAACTGAATATTCTAAACTGACACGAGTTAGGGTTAGTTGTATCTGAAATCTCTAAAGGGAAGCAGTGACCAGCTTCTGTTTTTACATCAGGCTTTTAAAAACAAATTTATTACAATAATGAAGATGACATCAAATATCTAAGTGCATAATTTTTATTCGTAGACACCAGTCAAACAGAAATCTACCTTCTTAAAAGACTGATTACTGTAGTTTTATTTTGATGATGAACAACGATACAATAAGAACCTCAAAGAAAAACTGCATGATTTTAATGCATTTCATTCATGATCATCCTCAATGTGAGTCAACTGATTTTGCAGGTGTGGATCCTGACTTCTGAAGACGTTCAGAAGCCTGAAAAGTGTCTGAAGATGTGCAGGTTCCCACGTGGCGATTCGATCTCACATGGTGTGCTCCGACTTAATCACATCCAGGATCAGCTGGATGGTTGTGTCGTCTGCATCAGAGAGGAAGAAACAGATCAGATCTGAACCAAAAAAAAAAGGCTTTTAACTGTTTTATTTTATACACCCACTTTTATAGGTGTAAAAAATTACTCATCTTCATTTTTACCAGACTTGTAAAAACTACACACTCACTGGCCATTTTATTGGGTACACCTGTCCAACTGCTCGTTAACACAAACTATGAACCAGCCAATCACATGGTGGACACTCAATGCATGTTGACATGGTCAAAACAATCCGCTGCAGTTCAAACCGAGCTTCAGATCGGGGAAGAAAGGGGATTTAAGTGACTTTGAGCGTGGCATGGTTGTTGGTGCCAGACGAGCTGGTTTTAGTTTTTCAGAAACTGCTGATCTTCTGAGATTGTCACGCACAAGCACAACCATCTCTGGGGTTTACAGTTAATGGTCCGAAAAAGGGAAAACAGTTCTGGGGGCGAAAATGCCTTGTTGATGCCAGAGGTCAGAGGAGAACGGCCAGACTGGTTCAAGCTGATAGAAATGCAACAGTAACTCAAACAACCATTCGTTACAACCAAGGTATGCAGAAGAGCATCTCTAAACACACATGTTGAACCTTGAGGGAGATGGGTTACAGCAGCAGAAGACCACACCGAGTGCCACTCGTGTCAGATAAGAACAGGAAACAGAGGCTACAATTCACACAGGCTCACCAAAATTGGACAATAGAAGATTGGAAAAATCTTGCCTGGTCTGATGAGTCGCGATTTCTGCTGCAACATGCTTCAACAACATGAAAGCATGGATCCATCCTGCCTTGTATCAACGGTCCAGGCTGCTGGTGGTGGTGTATTGGTGTGGGGGACATTATCTTGTCACACTTTGGCTCCTTAGTACTAACTGCACATCGTTGCAACACCACAGCCTACCTGAGTATTGTTCCTGACCATGTCCATCCCTTTAGACCACAGTGTGCCCTTCTTCTGATGGCTTCTTCCAGCAGGATAATGCTCCATGTCATTAAGCTCGAATCATGGTAAATGGTAAAATGGCCTGTATTTGATATAGCGCCTTCTAGAGTCCTGGAACCCCCCAAAGCGCTTTACAACACAATCAGTCATTCACCCATTCACACACACATTCACACACTGGTGGGGATGAGCTACGATGTAGCCACAGCTGCCCTGGGGCGCACTGACAGAGGCGAGGCTGCCGAGCACTGGCGCCACCGGTCCCTCCGACCACCACCAGCAGGCAACGTGGGTTAAGTGTCTTGCCCAAGGACACAACGACAGCGACAGACTGAGCGGGGCTTGAACCTGCAACCTTCTGATTACGGGGCGAGCATCTCAGACTGCTTTCTTGAACATGACAATGAGTTCACTGTACTCAAAAGGCCTCCACAGTCACCAGATCCCAATCCAATAGAGCATATTTAGGATGTGATGTGTGACGCTATCGTATCAATATGGACCAAAATCCCAGATGAATGTTTCCAGTTCCTTGTTGAATCCATGCCACGAAGGATTAAGGCAGTTCTGAAGGCAAAGGGGGGTCAAGCCCGGTACTAGCAAGGTGTACCCAATAAAGTGGCCGGTGAGTGTAAAAGTAAACGACACCATTTTGATGAACAGTAAAACGAACAAACTTACTGTAACCTGAGCTACATTCACAGATTTGTTTCCCTTTTTTAAACAGTCAGAATCTAAATGAATAAACACCGTTAGACTCCTGAACAGATATGTTTTCACCTTCTAGACTCATTCTGGGGTTCTGCAGCTTCTTTTCAAGCAAAGAGTCCATCAGTTTCCTCAGATGTTTGAAGATCACACCGATCCTTATTGGGGCCTTGAAAGAGGAACAAGCAGTGGCAAAGAGCATTTACATCTACAGAGTTCAGGAGCAGAAGACGCGGTTTTCAGGGCCGAAAAGAGCTGCTTGTGAGCAGATAGAGCAAATTCCATGACAGTTTAAAGATCAGGGGCCTCATTTATTAAAATGTGTGTAGAAACTTTACTGAAACTACTTTAGCTCAGCTAACCCAAACTAGTTACTTGGGCAAAGTAATTTTCAGACCTATAAAACACTGTTCACACACAGCTGACAAAGTTGCACACCTTTTCCTCAAGTTTTTCTTTCTAAATCACAAAGTTTGTGTAGAAAATGACTTTTGCCATTTTCAGATTATATTGTGTGCATAAGCCAGCTTTAAAAATGACGTCCCAGACCTGGATTATTATGGTCTCTGGTGTTCTTAGGAAAGACTCGGATCAGCTGAAGCCATTCTATAACTTAATTTCTTAAACCAAGAGTCGTAAAATACTTGTTTCTTTAGAAATCCCAAATATTCTATGATGGTAATTTTTTTTAATGTATGGCAGCTGAGTGTTGTGACCTCTGACCTGGAAGTGGATCCATCCATCTAAAGTGATGAGCTTCTCTCTGTGCTGAATATCGATGTCGCCTCCAAACAGCATCATGGGGAACGGGGATATCAGGGTGGTGTCTCGCAGGTAGATCTTTGTGTATTTGACCTGTGGAGGATTTACTCAGTAACACAACTGTAAATGACATCACACACACACACACACACACACACACACACACACACACACACAAACCTTCTCCTGGTACAGCAGCCAGCCGTGCGTTTGCAGGTTGCGGTTCACAGACGACGGGTGGACCTGAGCTCTGCCTTGAGGCGTCTCCACGGTGCAGGCCACTTGCTCCAGCCCATCCACAGGGGGGCTGCACAGCAGCCGGGCCACGCTGTCATAGAGCCCAGCCGTCAGCGCCGCGTTCAGAACGGACACCTGCTGCTTGGACAGTGAGGACACCTGGCGCTTCAGAGAAGAGGAAGGGCGAGACGACCAGAACCCCGCTTGCTCCATCATCTTCATCAGCTCGTGCTTCACATCCTAGAAGGTGGAGGATATGAGATTGTAAAAGGAGGAAGGAGGGGGGCTGGTGATAGGAAGCCCTAAGGTCACTTACCTCTATTGTGATGAGAGCTGTTCGATTGAGGAAGTGTTTCCTGCAGTACGACATTTCTGCTCCCAGTCCTTCAGTCTGAGACCTTTTCCACCTAAAAACAGCAAAGTATGAAAATATTACTTTAAAAAGTGTCAGTATTGGACTTTTCCCTGCCTTTCCTGTTTTCTGTTAATGCTAATAAAATTATATGCATTTATTACTGTGGTAAAATATTTTCTCTCATGCATAAACAACTTCTGTTGACATAAAAACTGTTGAAACGGTTATGTGCATGAATTCAGCCGCAAACATCTGTGAACGAATCAGGTAATCTGATTAATTCTGACAAATAGAAGCGGGGGTTATTCTGTGTGAGAAGTTAAATTAAAAACACTCCTTTTTAGATACGCTTTTACGCAGAACGTCAGTAACAATGCGCGTCATTTGCCAAATGATGCAGACTACAATGATTTTGCACCATTTTAGCATTTATAAAGTCTAGATATTTCACAGCCACTACAAAACAAAAAAAGAAATTTAGGAACAATAAAACCAAAACAAGTGGCCTTTCTCAGAATCCAATTTTGACTTCTTTTTATGCTTATTTGAGGCTCAGAAATACATTATTTCTGCCCGCCCAATACTAATGAGCACAATGGCCGTGTTTCCTAGGCTACTGAAGGTGAAATTCCACTCCCATCATTGCACAAAAATAATGCGAGAAGCCTTAAATCCTAAACAAATAGATGGGGTGGTGCTAAAAAGGTTTTTCTCCATCCTGACTCTTAAAGCACCTTCATGAATAAGACCTGCAGCGAAGAGAGGAGCTCTTCATCACGTAACACAAAACAAACCTATGCTGGCTGCTACAAAGACACGTCTTGGTCATTTTCCCATTTAAGGAAGATTTTAATGGAAAATCGGACTCTGACGCATACCCTAGATAAGCGTTGTATATGGTGAGGTGATCCGAGTTAGCCAATGCCAGAGCAGCTTTAGCCAGGTTAGCCTCCTCCTTTCTGTTCATCGGTGTGGAAAAAGGAGACTTCTCTGTGATTGCAGCTGCAATGGTTGCCTGCAACGGTGGTTTTCATTAATATAAGGATAAAAACATTATATGGAAGAAGAGAACACCGTTCTAAAATAAAAACCTATCAAAAGATCATTGATTAGTGGGACGCACGATGGGCTCCAGGCAGCCGAGGATGGCGCTGTAGATGAGCATCTTGCCGATCTTCACGTTGACCGGCAGACTTGCCAGGTGGTGTCCCAGCGGGGTGAGGACATGATCGTTCGGGTCGCACGCTCCGATCTTCCTCAGCAGGTTGACCGCGTTGCTGACCGACTGAGGCTGAGGAGCATCAAGGGCCCGACTCAGAAAGTCCTCCGGTGAGCCGTACTGACATTTCTACCAGACAGAAAAACAAATGTTCATCTTTGTGTGACGCTGACTTTCTGACTAACACAGACTGAATCGTTCACCATGATGTGAAGACAAAGTTCCTCCAGCGGGACCCGTAGGATCTCCGGGACGGAGTAATCCATGAAGGCATCAAACCTGAAAACAAGCAGGTCAAAAGAGAACTTAAAGCAGGAAAACACATTCGTTTTCAACCTCTTTGAGGAGCTAACAATGAATATTTATTAGGTTTTTATTCCTGTATAAAATTCTGATCTGCATTCGAACTTGTTACACGCTGATCATACTCAGCCTCTCCACCTAGTTCCATACAACATTAATCTGTTTTTGATGCTAGAAAGTTTATGATCTGTAAACGGAGAGGCGTGACTGACGAGCTCCAAACCTGAATTTGGGGTAAAGTCTGAAGCAGAAGCCGTTTCGGACACGTCCTGCTCTCCCCTGCCTCTGGAGGGCGCTGGCTTTGGAAACAAAGGTCTCCACCAGAGAGCTCATCTGGCTGCTCTCATGGTATCTGAGCAACACATCACATGTTCGTTAGAGTGAGTAAAACTGGTTCAGAGTTTAAACAGTCAGGAAACATTTAGAAATCCATATTAACTTTTAATTTTTAAAGATCAACTTTACTTATGTTTTTATTATTTGCAGTGGTCTCTAGCGGGAATCCAAGACCATGAGTCTTGAGTCGGAAAAGGGTAGTGTCCCAAGTGGAGGAGTTTATCTCCGGGTCTTGTTCCCCAGCGAGGAAGAGATCGACAGACGGATTGGTGCTGCATCTGCAGCGATGTGGGCGTTGTGTCGTGGTGATCCGTCTTATTTCCTGATATTTGGACACATCGCCTCCGATTGGTTAACAGAAACCCGACTCTACGACTGACTTTGTTTGCAACGCGGATGTTTCATCTCTACAAATAACACAAGCCTGGAGGAGTTCTGCTGTGGGGTGGAGTTGCTAATGCCAACAGTTCTACTAGTCCAGGTGTTCTCTGCTGTTTCCTGGAGGCTAAACCAACACAGCCTTCCCCGTCGCGAGTCAAGATGGGCGAGTCCACGAATATTATTAGCTCTGTCAGGATTTTAAAACCCTAGAGCTTCACCGCCTGTTTTCTATCAGGTGTAGGAGACTATTTTCATGTTCAGCCTGCATGGAAAACTCAGAGTGACTGATAATAATCAGGAAAAAGCATTAAAAACTGTGTTTCAGTGAAGTTGACCTTTAAACTACCAGTAAATAAATGTACGTAATAACTCAATGAATGTAGTAAAAGTATTTTAAAATAATGAATAGAACTGATCAAATATATTATATCTCACTATTAAATTAAACAATTTTAATATTATTTCTAAAATAAATACATACAATCCCAGTAAAAACAATACTGCATGAGCTCTTACTTATTTTCTTTGGTCTTGCCAGTGTCGATAACAAACACGACGTCAGGAATCGTCACGCCCGTCTCTGCGATGTTAGTCGACAGCACGATCTGGAAAAAGATCAGTTTCAAATTAGAAAAAATGTTAGTTAAGTAAAAATCAGTAGTTTCATATAATTTATGATAACGTAGTTTTCTAAAGTACCTTTCTGACTCCAGCAGGCGGAACTGTGAAGGCAGCCGCCTGGTCCTTGGACGACAGCGTGGAGTGAAGGGCAACGATCTTGTATCTAAATGCAGAGAAACCCCACAGCGCGTGACACAGGGAGCGGGTCGGGTCCAAATCCACTAATCCAGTGTGACAAATTACCGATTTTTGTTCCGAAACCTCTTGTCTGAAGAGAGCAGATCGTAGAGCTGCTGGATATGAGCCAGACCCGGGAGGAACACCAGAACAGCGCCGTCCACGTCTGCAAACTGGGGGGATTTGTCTGACAGATATGACAAACGTTTATGGAAAAACGCATCGTTTAACGAAAACGATTGTGTAGTTCGTGTGGTACTGTTCGGTGTACCTAGGTAGTCCAGGAGGTCCACGAGCAGGTCCATGTTGATCTTATTAGGGTTCATGTACTGCAGCACCTGCCGGGTTCTGCTGCTGAAGTGATCCAGGTCAGGACCCAGATCCCAGCCAGAAGAGGAGTCCCTCAGGATGACCTCCTGAAATAAACCCAGAAGGTTTTATGTGCTGAAAGAACAAATGATGCATCACTATTTAACCAAAAATAAGGAAAAGCACTGTCGTAAGAGGCAGGACTTCTTTGGTCAATACGAAACATTAGGGATGCACAGTATATCGACATCGACATCCATATCGGCCGACGTTAGTCATTTAGTCATATCAGTATCGGTCGGATAAATAAAACTGGGCTGATATTAACAACAGTTTTTTTTATTTATTTGTTTATCTGTTTCAGAAGGTGAGGGGGGTGATGTGTATTTGTTTAGTCATGTGACAATGATTGTAATCATCTCAGAAGTGTAAGTGTGTGTGGTGTGTGTGTGTACATAATAACATAAACTCAGCTTTAATAAGTTTCATTCTATACAAAATCTGCAGATTTTAGAAGCGTTATTAGTCAATCTATCAGTATCGGCAAATATCAGTTATCGGCCATAACAGTGATATTAATATCGGTATCAGCAAAAAATTGCATATCGGTGCATCACTACAAAACATTTTCATTAAATTCTTTGCATAAAATTCCTCTTCCATAAAGTGATCTCTGCAGCTTTATTCTTGACACTTTCAGTGCCTTCCGGAATGAGCTGGTTCAGAGCTCTGTCCCTTTAAGATGGCAAATTGGAGCTGGCCACGCCCACCCATCCAGGCTGCTATAAGCTGAGAAGCTCCGATATCTGGGAGGGGCTCGGAGTAGACCTGCTGCTCCTCCTCCTCCTGCACCAGCAGCTCTCTCTTGTACATGAGAGGTGTTTCTGTCCTATTCTACTTTTTTAAATGACTTTTTTTTTTAGGCTCATGAACTCTAAAACCAACACTCACAGAAAATGAAAGGACAGATAGAAAGCCACGTGTCACGTATGAAAGTGATCATTTCTCCTCCATCTAATTAACACAACATAACCTTTCATACACATCCGAGGCTGCACCATCTGTCGGGGCCCAGATGCCCAAAACAATCCTTTGCCAACTTATTGTTCCTCACTGGAGACGTAACAGTTTCCCTCAAGGTTCCTGCCATCTTTGCCTGAAAGCCAGACGTCAACATTCTTCACTCTGATGAAGTGAAGACTCCATGACTTTACAACCATGAGCTTAAATAATCATATGGGATGACTGAACAAGATGTTTCAATCAAATGTTTGAATAACCTGTGCTTAAATCAATGAATTTAAAAGGAATATTGTTCTTGCAATGATCAGTATGTGTTTGATTTAACAAGTTAATCATTGTTTACACTCATACACATTACAATAAGACACTCATTAAGGTTAATCTTCACCTCACATAAGAGTTTTAAAGATTCCCATTCACAAAATGTTAAAACTCTTTGTATCTGAAGGAGGCGTTGCTTTCCGAGGGATGTTGGTAAATACTCAGAAACGTGTCAAATCCTGATTTGCCAAACTTGGCCAGAACTCATAACATTGTAGTTTATTAAAACAAGAATTACTTCCCGATTAATTCAGTTTCTAGCCGACTCTCTAACCGGCCAATTCGGGATTAAGCATCTTCCAGACATCTCTTTTGACCTACAGTCAAAAGCCTCGTTGCCTGCTGACAGCCAGACGGCTCTTTTCAGAGCCAAACATCCACCTTAGACGCTAACAAGCATTCCAGCTTCCTGTTGTGACTCGGAGACATCTCAAGACCGGACAGGCCATATCGGAGCGAACCTATGAGATTTGGGTACCTTGAGGTCAAGGGTCAATCGACTTCCGACAGTCTGGACCTGCACTGGGGGTCTCCACAAGGGTATTGTAGGCACGGCTTTTATCAATAACCAACTCTCTAGTTTATAACAAACAACAAATTCTCTTACACAGATTACATTACAGATGTCACAGTTTCACTCAGATACAAAGAACGGTTGCTACAACATCTAGCTTCCATCACAACACCTCCCATCCACCACATCACATCTCATTATTCTTATCTTGTCATGTATACATTATTAGTTTAGTAAAAAGAATTTAATTCATTTTATAAGCTATACACCTGACTCTGTCTGAATTAATACGAAGTGTGTTCATGGTCCCTGAACAAGTAAACGTAACTATAATCTTCTGATTAAACATTCACAGATCAATCAGATTGATATTTCATATTTATATGGAATCATTACATCTTATTGGTCACAATTAATTTGTAGTCTTTATCTTTAACACTACACACGCGGCAGCACAAAGGGATGCAAAAGGGGAGTTTTACAAAATAGGTCCCTTTAAAAAGGGCCATCAATCATGACCTGCTCTAGAATAAATGTCTGAGATGAGAATTTACCACAAATAAAAACCTGTTTCAGAACAAAAAATCAAGAATATTCTTAAAAATAAAAACTAAGAACAGAACTTTTGTTTTTGTCCACACTCTGAGCGTCTAAACTGTTATTACCCTTCATAACTGTGATTTTGTGAATCTGCTGTAAATACCTTCAGCACAAAAACGCACCACCAAATCAGTCTAAACTATTAAGTCACACAGGATCGGTCATCTGCTGCTGAAACTCCACACACACCCATTACCTGATGCTGCAATGTCTTGCCACCTTTTTGTGTGACAGAGATGGAGACTTCTTCTTCTTCTTCTAAGATTTTTTGACAGTACTCAGAATCCTTTTCCAGAACATATCCAGTCTGCTCCACAATATCTTCCAAATGAGACACCTGGAAACAAACCAAACCCTGTTTCCTCGGAAACTCACGGTTTTAGAAACGACACGTGACAACCCGCTCCCCTCACCTCCACTGGGAACGTCCTGCCTGGGATGCTGATCACCGGGCAGCGGTTGAAATAGTTGGAAAACTTTTCGCAGTCGACAGTGGCGCTCATGAGAATCAGCTGCAGGTCAGATCTCTTCATTACGACGTCTTTTAGGATGGTTAACAGGAAGTCGGACTGGACGCTGCGTTCGTGGACCTGAGATTTTTTTTAAAAAGCCATTAAACATGTGAAATGAACTCTGGAAGCCTGCAACCAGGAGCTGTTGGCACCTCGTCTACAATGATGTGGGTCAGTGAACTGAGGTGTCGGTCGTGCTGCAGCTTCCTCAGCAGAACTCCGGTCGTGCAGTACAGCAGACGGGTCCATTCTCCAGACTGGTTCTCCATCCTGATCTGGTATCCACACAACGACGACTGAATTCCACACAAAACAAAGTCAGTGGATGAGGAGTTACTCAAAGTGCTACATATAAATGTCCAACTGTGGACACAAAGGGTGCTGACCTTCGACCCTGGCCCTTCGTCGCTGCCCAGCTCCTGGCTGACTCGGCACGCGAGGCTCATGGCTGATATCCTGCGCGGCTGAGTCACCACGATGTTGCAGGGCTGTGCTGTTTTACCTCCGGTCAGCAGCTCCTCCAGGAGGAACTGAGGGATCTGAGTGCTCTTCCCACTGCCCGTCTCACCAGCCACCACCACCACCGGGTGGCGCCGCAGCGCCTCCAGAACCCGATGTCTGTGCTGGAAGACTGGAAGCTGCTCTCGCTCTGCCTTAAAGGTTGAATGTCTTTTAAATAAAGTCTCACATAAAGTGAATCAGATCCAGAAGGTGAATTTACCTTCAGCCTGAGTGCAAGTGGAGACCTCCTCAGCTTTTGCAGGAGCTCTCGGGCTTCTCCCAGAGCTGCTCCCGCTCCTCTCCTCCCTCCTTTCTTCTCATTCTTTTCTTCCACTTCTTCTCCTCTTCCACCAATGTCGAGACCAGCCAGGTTCTCCCAGGTGTCCTCTGTCTCCTCCTCATTAGAGCCGCTGACCCTCCGCTGTCCTGCACATGCAGGCTGCAGGTCCTGGTTCTGTTGCTGTTTGAGTCTAGTCAGGAGCCGGGAAATGAACTGGTCTCTGGGTTTGTTAGCAGCAGTGCGGCTCGCCTCCTGTTGCTGCTGCTCGTTGTCTCTCCACTCCAGCCACACGTCTCTGTAGGTGGGAGGGAGGAGCTGGTGCACCGACTGGAAGACAGAATATGAAACGAGGCCAAAGATGGAACAAAACAGTGAGCAAAAAAAAAAAAAAAATTAACTGCTGAACCCTGAATTATTTAAAAAACTCAGAGTACCTGCCCCTTAACCAGGCTGTAGAGAGCCAGTGTGGCCGCCAGATGCTGAGCCTGCATGCTATCCTCGGTCAAGATGGTTGGACAAACTTCCAGGACATCATCAGCTCTCTGCACCCGCACCCTGACACATGCACTCTAGTTAGTTTAAAAAACGTCCAAATTCTAAACTTTAGAAAAACCCTACAATCTGTTGATTTTAGGAATATAAAAACAGTCTTACAATTCACACACACACACACACACACACACACACACACACACACACACACACACACACACACACATACTTGCATTTCCAGTATCTGCCAGCAGCAACCTTCTGAAAAGTCGGCGGGGGACTTTTGGGGAGGTTCTTTCTCACCCAGTCGATAAGAAACTGTTTGGGAGACTTTCCTGTCCAACTGCGAGCCGTGTAGTCAAAGTTACGAATGTCCTTTGGCTCATTTTTCTTCACAACTGCAAAGGAAAGCCACCCACCCATCAGTGAAAAATGGGACTCAGATGGTGAGTCAGCTCAAATTAGATTTTTTGAGAGATATTGAGCATCTTTGTCGTGCTTGGACGTTGTCAAATTTGTAAAAACAAAGATCCTTTCAAAGCCTCTCCTCTTGATCTGGGTCACATGTACCTTTCTCTGTAGGAGGGTTTGTTTCTGCTTGTTCAAACAGGCTGAAGCTGAGACCGTCTTTGTCTTCAGTGACAGGAAGTGTCTTCTTGTCTTTGTGAGGGACATCCACCACTTTTATGGCAGGATTGAACACAGGGTGGGACTCCAGCCGTTTCATTTCTATAATGAGAAAAACACATACAGTGGATGTTTTATAAGAAATGCCATTAGACCTACTTGATAAATGTAGTTTTACATTAAATCTCACAAACGCACCTTGCTGTGTGACCCGGATTCGCTCCTGTGCCGACCTTTGGCCCATCTTGTCTCCTTTGGTTTTGGCATCAGCTGCCATTTCTTTAGCGTCATACAGTTGAGCAGTAAGGATCAAATACCTGTCATTCTTCACAAAAACACAAATTACATGGAGTAAAACTACAATGTACAATAACGTTTACTGCTTTATGGATAAGACTTTGCAGTTTTACAGGCATTTATTAGGCTGGAGGTTAGGATTTTGATTTTACAGAGCCCACCTGTAATGAGGAAAGGTTTATGTTTATGTATTTAGCAGACGCTTTTGTCCAAAGCGACTTACAAGTGATAATCGCCATGTTGCCCTTGAGGCTAACAACAACAATAACAACAACAACAACCAATTTCCAGTCAGTCGTAGGCGGCAGAGAGGCAGCATGATGAATCATGGAGAGGAGGGAACACAGAGTGGACAGTTTGAAATGTTTAACTATATAACAAAATGCAACAAGCATCATGGGTGCATGCACTTATTTTGACTTTTTAAACATTAGAAAGTGTATTGATGTAAGACACTTTATATTTTGTCTCATGAAATGTATTTTACTCATTTATTTTCATCCAATTCTGCAGCAACTTTAATAAAAGTGCTATGCAAGGCTGTAGAAAACAATGTAATTCCATCTGATGAGCCTCAGATCCAGAGTGTACTTTAAATTAAATAATTGTGAAAAAAGTTCTACATTTTTAAAAACCCAACTCTTTATTAGTTAATGCTGTAAATGTTACAAATATTTTTCTGTTATATTTTAATATGTGGGCTGCACAGTGGTGCAGGGGTTAGCGCTGTTGCCTTGCAGCAAGAAAGTCCTGAGTTCACATCCTGGCCTGGGGTCTCTGTGCATGGAGTTTGCATGTTCTTCCTGTGCATGCGTGGGTTTTTTTCCAGGTACACAGTCCAAAAACATGACTTTAATGTTGATTGGTCTCTAAATTGTTCTTAGATGTAGGTGGGTGTGTGTGTGTGTGCTTGGTTTTTTGTCCTCTGTGTCTCTGTGTTGCCCTGCAGTGGACTGGATATCTGTCCGTGGTGTACCCCGCCTGTTTGCCCGGAGACTGCTGGAGATAGGTACCAGACCCCTGTGACCCTGCATGGACAAGTGGGTTCAGATAACGGATGGATTTCAAAAATGTAATTATTATGTAACGGTTCAAAAAATAATTAAAACAGACACTTGCCACCTGCAGTACTTGGATCTTCAACAAGAGGGACACAATTTACACATTTATTACACAGTTATTAATATCGTAGTGGAGTTTTGTTTTACATTTGTTCAGAATGAAATGGATCCAGACTTCTGCTACAATGTGAATAAACTATTAAAGGTGCATTATGTAGAAATAATGTAAAAAAAGACATCCTGTGGTAAAATGTGGTTACTACAGCCACTTTAAACAAATCTGGAGCTTTTTGCCGCCCTTCATCAAATTACAATTGTTGGTGCTGCAGTATTAGCTCGCAGGAGACATGGCAACCCCACACTCACTGATAGTAAACAGTAGTTACGTCCCTCCTTCTTTTGTTTTGAAACAAGAAAAACAGACAATCACGCAGCCAGCTGGATATGATATATGTTTCAGTATAACCTTCCTTCCAAAATGACTGAAACATTAGACTCTTTTGGGTTTTTCCCACTGTAAAATTCTCACTATATAATATTCTTACATACTGCACCTTTATTGAGCTGGAAGAGAACTCATGCTGAGCCTAAATCTAAATAAAGAAGTAGAACACATTAGACCTCCTTCTGTTACCAAGCTGAAGAAAAGGGAATACTATATAAAAAATGCCTGTTCATGTTCTTAAAAGTGATGCAACATAAAGGTTTGAAAGAAAACTAAAAAAGGCAAATAAATTCTAATTCTTACCAAAAGACAGAAAACTTACAGGATCAAACTTTTCATCAAGCTCAGGATTACGCGTCTGTTCCCCTCCTTCCTCCTCCTCCTCATCATCGCTGCTTTGCTCTGCGTACCTCAATATCCAGTCCTTCATGGCTGCAGCTTCATCCTTCTCAGTAACCTGGAACAGACATAAACTTACAGGTTGGTTCAAACACATCATCATCTCACCCACATCCAATCACACACACCTTGGTGTTCTCTTTGACGGTGCTGTTGGAGGCTTTTGGGGTCTGAGCTGCAGGTTTCTGTTGAGAAGGAGGCTGGAATTTGGGCCGACTCTTCTGGCTCTCCTCCTGCAGCTGCTGGCTGAAGCCATCTGGTAACTCCTCTAGCAAAAGTAAATAACAAATTTAAGGATGTTGTTTTATTTCTTGTGTTATGATTAATGTGGGTGCTTTAGTACCATCTTTCAGGTTAAGACAAAGCCAGTCTAGAGCAGAGTGAAGATCTCCTCCGTACAGAACGCTGCTCTTCATCGCCTCTTCAATGTGTTCCCTCTTAAAATTAAACTTCTGTAGGGCCGTGTACAGGTCCTGCAAAGCACATAATAATTAAAATTTGGATGTGTGAAAACAAAAAAAGTATCAGAATGATTATTTCATCTTTACCAGCAACTTCTTGCTTGTAAGTCTGCCAGATATGGGCCCTTTGTCTCCATTCTCCTGTCGGAAGTCATTTATCAGTTTGATGATCTTCTTCTCTAGGTCAGCTTGGATAAACACCTGTTTTAATAAAATAAACATATTTTAATTCAAAAAAACATGTTTCAAAACTAATGATCTAAGACATGCTGGACTTACTTTAAGAATGGACTTGTCTGAGAGCGCACCTGTGTCTACCTGGGCTGTGTTGGCAAAACTGTATGTCTTTGGAGCTGGAGGGAGGATCAAACATAGCAAAAATGTACATGCCATCATTGCTAAACCAATTTTTATTTTAAAATATCAATTAAAAATCAAGCGACTGTGACTGGCAGTTATTATTCCGATGATCTGACACAAAATACAACAGAAATATATTAGCAGGAGTAAAATAGCTTCATTTCTATGCATCACCACCTTTAGACTTGCTGTCTTTAGCTGCTTTGGTCGTTTTGCTGCTGGCTGCTGCTGTTTGTTTCTTTGAATTCTCCACCGCACCGTTTCCAGCCACAGCCGAACCAGAGCCGCACGCTGCTAGCGGAGCAGCTTGAGCCGCGGATTTCTTCTTCTTCCCACCCATTAGCTCCAACGTTACAACGCGTTACAGACAGGAAAGGGGTTTTTAAAAGCATCTGGGAGATGAGAAGTCAGGTTAAAACCATCGTTTTAACCAAAACGACACGAGACGTGTGATTACTTTTGTCCCACACGGCTTCCGTAGCGGAACTGTCGTAACAACATCGCGTTGCATTGTGGGGGAAAGTGCTCCTTAGAAACATGTCGGACACATTTGGAGAAGGATTATTTAGCGTGTTTGATGACGAACAACAAAGTTCTACAAACAAAAAGACACCAACAGGTGTTTCTACAGAAACAGGGTACGTTAATTCGGTAAATTGAAAATATTTAGTTTGAAATTAGTTGCCGCTTTTGCTCTGGTCGCGTAAGCGTGGTGCCACGAGAGCTCGGGCAACAAAACTGGTGTTAAGTCGAAATGTGTCCCCGTGTTTAAAACTAATCACTCTCTTGCTTTTCCAGCCACTTGTGTGTGTGTTTTCCTGTGCTAATTACACAGATATTAGCTTTGAAGATCTAAAAATATTAGAATTTGCATTCAATAAATCATCTGATCCAGAGCAGTCAATGTGCATTCCAGCTAGAATGGATCGTATACTTTATTTTCTTTTATGTAGATAGATAGATAGATAGATAGAGAGATAGAGAGATAGATGATCTGAGACAACGTAAATTCCAGTGAATTAGTTAGTTCACGATGGGGAACACATTTTGATGTGACACCTACAGGATACCAGGAAAACAGAACATTGAAGATGAAATGTTTCTGTTTATGACTATTTTAACATTTACTAAAACTGAAACCTCTTTTGAGTGAAATGTGACTTTCTTGGCCTTGTGAATTGTGCTAGGATAACTCGGCTAACGACATGCTTTCTTTTTTATGTTGTCAGGAAGGTTGTAGGTAAATTTCTAGGCTCTGAGAAGGATGCGGGTCCATCCACTCGGGTCAAGAGAGAGGCAGACCTGGAAGTAGGGGAGGATGTGGTGTTCGGGAAGAGGGCTCGAACTGACACTGCCAATGACCTAAAGTGAGATGAAAATGCAGCTTTATCGTAACGCTCCTCTCTATCAACAACAGTTATTAATGTACAGTGTTGGGAACGTTACTTTAAAAAAGTAATTAGTTATAGTTACTGATTACTTTATCAAAAAAGTAACTCAGTTACTAACTGAGTTACAAGATTATAAAAGTAACTAATTACCAAGAAAAATAACTACGTAGTTACTTTTTTCATTAAAGCATGCAAGAATTACTACAATAGTGAAATATAAATGACTAATGACTGGAACATAATAAAATATGTCCAAATGTTTTTTTATAAACCTGAATAATTTAAATAAATAAGCATTTAATAGGAGGAACTACTAATCTAGACTATTAAAAGGTCACTGTGTGATTTTTAACAAGACCCCAATCAGCTAAAATTTAAAATTGCAAATAGAAACACCTGTAAAGGTTCCCGAGCCTTTAAATGGTCTCTCAGTCTAGTTAAATTACAGAAATGAATGTAATTTTGCACAGTATTTGAATTTTTCCAGCTTCACATAATTGTGTGTTTTAGTAGCATTTCTGTTGCAGGTAATCTAGTAACGGTTAAAGAAATAAATAAAATCCTTTAAAATGACACTAGAGGCACAAGCCTGATGGAGGACTTACATTTACTAACTTGGGTCAGACCCAACCACAGAAGAGCTGAAGCTGGGTGGTAAACACACACAGGTAGTTCTAATAACACCTGAGCTCCATGACATCTGAGACTGATGCATCAGTGTTACAGCGGGACTAAAGACATGATCAGAAACAGGTTACAGCTGGATGATCTAGGAAGGTAGAAGATCAGGACGTCTGAGCGGTGAAGAGGTGAGCGGACCTTCGGGACGTCACGCTGTCACGCTAAGAAGGGCACAGCTGCAGACCCGCAGATTCGCTGCTGCAGATTCCCACCTGCAGCCGTAGATATTCATCACGTCTTCCTTGTTCTTCACGGGCCGCGATGCGCTTGGATGAAAACATCTACCTCTTTAGCTCCTGATCAGCTGATGACAGCTTCAACACACCGCGCTGCTTAACGCACGCATTTCCTTATCAGTAACAGAAACGATCATTTTGTTAAAAGAAGACGGTAATTAATTAGTTTGCTCGTTACAGAAAGAAATATTTTTTTATCAACGCGGTTATTTTAAACGGTGTTATTCCCATCACTGCACTGTTGTGTCTACAGCATGCAGTGACCGTGAGAACACTGATGGTCTCCGGCCACCCGGCCAATCATCATCGTGTTTGTAAGTGCGTTACCGGCACCTCTCTCTCCCTGGCTGCAGCTGAAGTGTGGTGGTCAGAAATCCTCACTGTTGCTCAACGTTCGACAAGCACATAGTAACGCACAACCTTCCGTCCCCAGTAACGGTAACGGCGTTGCAACAGTGGGAAAAGTAATTAATTAGATTATTACGTTACCCAAAAAAGAACGCCGTTAGTAACGCCGTTATACTTAAACGGCGTTACTCCCAACACTGTTAATGTATACTTTAAAGGTTTTTTTACTTAGGTTTTACTACCCTCTCATACAAATTTCTTTTGGAGAGCTTTAATAACTTTTTGCTGTGTTCACATTTATTATGTTTGCTATTTGAGATGTGGTCAGTGTTGCATGAACAAAACCATATAATATCCTATGTCTACAACAGTTCAAAAATAGTTAAACATACTTTAACCTTGAGGCCCTTACTCTGTTGCGTATTATAAAAACATGTAATTAATAATTATTGTTTAAAAGCTGCCTTCTGACATGTTGTTGTCTTCTGAAAAATAGGACAGAATTCTCACAGCAAAATCAAACCTAAATGTTTCGAATTGTCCTAAATACACATGAAATAAAACATTTTGAAAGTTTGAAAACATTTACCCCAAAAATAATTTCTAATGTTTTTATTCTCAGTATCTTCAGTAAAGTCTATAAAAATGTATATTTATATCCAAATGTCATCAGAAGTTGGAAGCATTTGTTTCCATTTTTGTTAACAAACCTGTAGTCACCTCTTTGTTAAATTTTAATAGCCAATAAATATTTCACTAATGTGCAGCTGACTGTTTTAAACCTCTGTTACAGTCTTGCTGAGTTCATGCCTCAAGTGAAGGTGGAGCCGGTTGAAACCGTGGAAGGATGCTCACACGAGGTAACTCGAACAGGAAACATTTTCAGCATCATTATTGTGTCAGTATTAAACGTGTCGTTTGTCAGATTTTTCTTTATTTCACCTTAATTATGAAAAGTTCAAATGTTTTTAAAGAGTCTCTCACCTACAGGTTGCTCTGCCTGCTGATGAGGAGTATAAACAACTAAAACCAAGAGTTGGGAAAGCAGCAAAGGTAAAACCCTGTAAATCTGAACCTTCTATTTAGTCTTCTGACTACACTCTAGTACTGTACACGTTGAACTAGTTGCATCGGTATTTCTCAAATGGTTAGATCGTGTCATGAATTGATTTGTTTTCTGCTTCTACAGGAATACCCGTTTATCCTCGACCCCTTCCAGCGTGAGGCCATTTTATGCATCGACAACAATCAGTCAGTGCTTGTGTCTGCACACACCTCTGCAGGCAAAACTGTTTGTGCAGAGTAAGTATCATCAGTTAGCTACCAGAATGCTAATAACTTATAGTAGAACATGGTTCTCCTTTTGTTGTTTTTAATTGTAACAACGTGGTTAAAAAAAGAAAAAATATTCTTAATTGACCCAAGAATTCAAATTCAAAAATACTTTATTAATCCCAGAGGGAAATTAGAGTTTCAGTACACACAATTCTGAGATCAGACATACATACATAGACACATGACAATAATTGGTGACTGTGGTCGTTCGCAACCCGAGTCGCGCTAATGTTATAGATCAAGAGGGTTTATATGAGGGTAGAGTCAGGGAGAGGGGAAAAAAGGCACATCAGAGTTACCCCCGACAGAGAGGATGGCTTTGCAATGCAAAAAAAAAAACACCTCAGACAGTTATGCACACAGACTTCAGACGATACACAACATAACCACTAGGTGGGGAGGTAGGTTGGGACTCTCCTCACTTCGGTTCGTGCACCCACATGGAGCAGCGCTCTTCATCATCCCTACACCCCCAGCAGGTCCCTGAGGTCCAGTAACCAAAGCCTACTGGTTGTGCAGCACCAGGCTAAAGACCAAAGGTGACAGATCATTTGCTGCTGTGGCCCCCAGACTCTGGAACTCTCTCCCCCTGAGCCTGAGATCAGTGGACTCAGTGGACTCCTTTAAAAAGCAGCTGAAGACTCACTTGTTCAAGCTGGCTTTTGTATGACCTTCTTCACCACTCTCTCTTTATTCTGCTCTCCCTATTCCACCTTCCTCAGGATCCACTGATTTCCCTCTTTCCTGTTCACTTTCTCTCTTTCTTAACATTTTTTCAAATCACAATTGCCTATTTTTGCTCATTTTAAATATATTTTTCAACATTTTCTAAATGCTTTTTTATATTTTTTTGTTTTTGTGAAGCGCCTCGTGATTTTTATCTTGAGAGGCGCTATAGAAATGATACTTTCTTCTTCTTCTTCTTCATCTCCGTTTGGACAGGGGAGGGAGATAAATGGGTTAAAGAGCACAGTGACTCCTAGACACTCCGCGGCCTTCACCGGTCATAGTCCCGCCCAGGCTGAGATATGGAGAAAGGGTTTCCATAGCGACTGCAGCATTCCACATTTCTTCTGACGGGGAGTTTTTATTTCAGCCTCACAGGCTTCAAGGGCACCAGATTCAGATGAGAATTGTTTTGGTTACAGACAGAGATCATTTCCTCTCTTTACTATTTACTCTTTAATATTAGATGGTTTGAATAACATTTAGATTGTTATCATTAAAAAACTAAACAGCTCCAGAGTTAAACGTAAAGTATATTTTTGAGGGCAAACAAAAAAAGATAATATATGTTAACTTAGTCACTGCAACGGGGGCGGGCTTGGGAACGAGCTCACACACCTTGAGAGTAAACATCACGGTTCTAAAGTTCAGTGTCTCCCTTACATAGGCGTAGCTGTGGCGGCCCGCCACGGCTGAAATCCCACCGCCACACCTTCAAGATCCCAAGTTTTATTGATTTTTTATTTTATTTTATTTTTTTGCGCCATTTCCCGAAGAAGCAGCGGGAACTACTGTGTTGTTGCTTGTGATCCCAGCCGGCAGGCAGCAAGGAGGAGGAGGCAGGGCAGGGTGGTTACAGCTAGGGATGAGCGTACGGATAAAGCAATTTTGACGAATACGAACATGAAACGAGTGTAAAACTCGTAAATATCTGTAATCGAGCTGAAGGAAAATACTCATTGGGTAACTGACTGTCTTCACACTCTGTGATTGGCCAGTCACATTGAGCGCCCGCCCCTCCCTACACACAAAACTCTGCAGCCGGGAGCGCAGTCTGCTCGGCCCAGGCATCCACGCACACACACAGACAGTAACAGATCTCTCTTGCTTCACTGTTGCTCACGTTTCTTCAGTACTCCCTACGTTTTCTTCAGCTCGCCTCTTTTTCAGTTCAATATTTAAAAGTTACTTTTTCGTAACGTACGTGGTGCATTTGACAAGACAGAGCTGAAAACGGCTCGTGCATGCGTCGGTCACTGCCTCCGCTCCGGTCGGGTTTTTAAAATTATTTTAACCCTCTCTCCCTCTCCCTCTCTCTCTCTCACACACACACCTTAATCAACGTTGTTTTGTTTAACTGTGTGTGGGGGGAAAATACCAACAACATTAGGAAAAAATCAGTTTAATCAAATTAAAATAAAATAAAAAGTTGTGTCTGGTTCTAGTATTTCATATAGTTCCTACTGCATGAGTTCAGATGCATTAATTCATGCACTTAAATATTAATGTTCTGATTTTACTGAAAAACTTGTTCTGTAATACTTTTACTATTGTGATCAAAAATATTTAATCTAAATTCTGAGGCTGCTCTAAATAGTTTTCAAATAAACAATAGTTTATACATAAACAACTTCTGATCAATCCATGTCAATTTCAGATTTAAAATAATGTACTGATGTAAACCACACCCACTAATTTCCAAATAATAAGGTGTATTCATCTCCGTATCTCCTTTGATCCGCATTAGTGATGTTTTCAGCACCAGAACAATGAAGCAAAGAAACAGATTCCTGAGTTTATGTTAGTAATTTTATTTATGAGGTGCATCTGACCTGTTCTATTTTTCTCTGAAATGAGAGCAAATCAGTGCTTCTATGGGTTGCCTCATCTCTGCACTAGAAAAATGTACTTTATTATAATGTTCACTGTAATGCATCTTGATGTTCTTAACAAATGAATTAAATCAAAGATATTGGTCAATAATGCCAAATATGTAAATTTGTGTTTCAGTCATTTTTATACTGGCTTAAAAATACTTCATTAAGTCTACTAAGCAGGGATGTAGAACGTTTTTAATAGGGCCAGCCCAGTAATGATCTTGGACCAAAATAAAGGGGGCAGAAGGAGATGTTTTTCCAAATGCCAAGAAAAATTAAATGCCAACCCCCCACCCCCCCTGCAAAGTGTGTCACTGAGTTTAAAACAAAAATTATTCTTGTGCAAATATTGGTGTATTCACCTTTAATACTAGTTATTAAAATGCAGCAGTTGCTGGATTGGTGCAGTTCAAAGTGGAGTGCATCAAATAAAACAATATTAACATAAAGGTGAAACGTGTCGTAATTTCCCGATAATTTTCGGATTCGTTTGGCTCTTTCTGTAGGTACGCCATCGCCCTGGCCCTCAGAGAGAAGCAAAGAGTCATCTTCACCAGCCCGATCAAGGCCCTGTCCAACCAGAAGTACAGAGAGATGTATGAAGAGTTTCAGGATGTGGGACTAATGACTGGAGATGTCACCATCAACCCAACCGCCTCCTGCCTTGTCATGACAACAGAGGTGAGAAGCAGTTTAGTCAAATATAACAACGTCTACCCATCAAGACTTTGGAGCGCTTTATTCAACACCTACAAACTGGATAGGAGACAAGTTTTATGTTGTGAACTAATGGATGCATTCCACTACCAGAGTGTTTGACTTGTTTTTGTGGCTGACTGATGCATCGACTTTTCTTTTTGTCCAGATCTTGAGGAGCATGCTGTATCGAGGTTCTGAGATCATGAGGGAGGTGGCGTGGGTCATCTTTGATGAGATCCATTATATGAGAGACGCAGGTGTGTACAGAAGGAATACATCACTGATCTCTGGTCACTGGTCAGAGCGGTCTGAATGTGGAGCATCCAGCAAGAATTATTCACATTTTCTTTACTTTGACTAGTTTAAATAAAAAAGAGAAACAAAAAGAAATCCAGTTTTAACTCACTCTCACTTCTGCGATAACTTTTTTCAAACCTAATTTCAAACTTTTTTAATATTCCTGGTTCAGCCCAGGTCCTGTGGTCTGTATTTGGCAGCTTTACATTATTTCTTATAATTAGAGCTTTTGAGAACAGTGCCTTAAACTCTTGTTTTTTTTTTGTTTTTTTTTTTGCAGAACTTTGTATTTTTTTTTTTTTTTTTTTTTTTTTTTTCTTTTTAAATCATTTGAACAGCAAACAAAGTGCAGCTTCAAACCTGGGCTGGAACGTTTGAGTTTAAAAACACACTGATTTAGAATCTGCTGTTATAAAACACCCCGTGTGTATTGTGTGTATTTCAGAGCGTGGTGTGGTTTGGGAAGAGACCATTATTCTTCTTCCTGACAATGTGCACTACGTTTTCCTCTCCGCCACCATCCCCAATGCCAAACAGTTTGCAGAGTGGATCTGCCATTTACATAAGCAGGTTGTACTTGTAGTTATTATATTATTAGTTTGAACTCTTTCATTGCTGATCTGATCTATTTGTATTAATAATGAGTTTGTGTTTGATCTGACTCCCTGCAGCCTTGCCATGTGGTTTACACGGAATACCGGCCCACTCCGCTGCAACACTACATCTTTCCAGCAGGGGGCGATGGACTCCACCTTGTGGTCGATGAGAACGTAAGAAATGACAATCAGCAAATCTGTCAGAATAATAATTATCATGCAATCAAACTTAGTTTTTTATGATTACAATATTTTTATAACTTCATTGAGAAAATTAAAGACTTAAAAGATCATCAATTTTCCAATTTGGACGTGTATGTCCGACCCAACGTGCTTTTCTTCTTTTCCTCAGGGTGACTTTAGAGAAGACAATTTCAACACCGCCATGCAGGTGCTGAGAGATGCAGGGGATTCTGGGGGCGGCAGTGGAGGCGGCAAGTGGGACCCGAGACGAAAAGGAGGCACTAAAGGTATTTCTGAAGAGCAGATCTATTAAAATTAAACTGGCTTTAAAAAAAAGTAAATAACAATATTTTGTGTGCTTTGTTTAGGTCCATCCAGTGTTTTTAAGATAGTGAAGATGATCATGGAGAGGAACTTCCAGCCTGTCATCATTTTCAGTTTCAGTAAGAAGGAGTGTGAGGCCTACGCGCTACAGGTGGCCAAACTGGACTTCAACACAGGTGTGTGTGCAAATATATCCCGTTATTATTTTTATGGGTACGCTTTTTATTGTTGCCGGGCTCCACATGCTCTTACAAAATTTGCAACATTACGTGACTTGGATTTAGTTGGCTTTGGAGAAAGCATTAACAACAAAAGGTTCGTATAAGACCCATAACCCTGCAGCTAAATCATGCGTGCTGTGTGTGTTTCTGGGGATTTCCTTTTGTGGATGAAGCAGATTTTGACCTTTATGTTTCACAAGCAAAACCTTCAGCAATTCTCTTGTGAATGGACTAAAATCAGTTTGGCAGCCAGTGTTTTAGTTTTACAGCTTCCTGATAGTGTAACTTGCATCTTTGTTCATTGTGCAAATATGTATTTTTGGCTGTCACGTAATAGTAATGTGTTTTAAATTTACTCACTCACTCATTTTCTAAACCGCTTATTCCTGAGTTGGAGCTGCTGTCCAACAATCATCAGGCGAGAAGCGGGGGTCTCCAGTCCAGCATAGGGACGCACCAATCACACCTGGGGGACAATGTTGCATCCATTTAACCTGACATGAATGCTTTGGGCCCGTGGGAGGAAATCCACTCGTGCATGAGGAGAACATGCTAACTCCATCCTGCAGCCAGGATTTGAACTTGCAACCTTCTTGTTTTTAATCAGCAGAGCTGCCAGATGTGCCATGGTCCAGCCTTAGCTCTAAATTATAAAACAAAAGTAAATCAGTTTCCAGAAAGCAGCTTGAGTGGAAGTGTTTTTTTTACCTGTCAGACTATCAGCTGGAAGAAGAGTTCTGATTTTAACTCCATATGGGGAACAGGTTGGCTTGAAATGTCATAATAAACACATTTTTGTGACAGATTGCTTGGGTGGAAGTAGAAATGAGAACATTCAAACTCCTCACCAAAAAGCTAAATTGTTGGCAGACTCCGCTGATGGAAGCCTCCCTACGGAGGGAGTGCTATGAATATGGCATGTTGTGACTTGGATAAGTGAAGGAGTTGTCTCACAGAGACACACTCTGTTAGGAGATAATCCAGCTTTAGCGTGAGCTTGGCTCACATCCACCTGCTTCAGATTCTTTGCAGTGAAGTAAACCATCCATTTAAAATGATATTGTGAAACTTTTTTCTATTTGTTTTTCCTGGACTTTATGCTGTACAAGGTTTGCTTTGACTCTGAGCTCTTCCAGCATTAAAGACCTTTATTCCGTGAAAGCTGACAGGTTTTCATCAACATTACAAAAACACCTGGGAAATAATTCATATTTCTTAGAACTGTTTTCCTCGAGAAGCTCACATAAAGTTAGCTGACAGAGTTGGGTAATATCAACTTTTAAAGATGCAATATGTAAGAATTTTACAGTGAAACTCCAAAAGGGTTCAAATGAAGGCAACTGGACTTCTTTGGTTTCTTGAAGACGTTTCGCTTCTCATCCGAGGATCTTTGTCAATTCTGACTGGAATATGGGAGAGTCACACTTATAAACTGTAGCTGTTTATTGCTATTTAATGAGCTGAAACTACTCTGAGTACCCCTCCTCTCTACCCCCGATGAGTTGTTGGGTGTGTGTGTGTGTGTGTGTGTGTGTGTGTGTGTGTGTGTGTGTGTGTTCTTGTACGTACTGAGGACCATTTGACCATTTTCCCTACAAAGTGAGGACATTTTTTTTGGTACTCACTTTTTTTAGAAGCATACCAGAAGATTACTATACCAGTTAGAGGTATAGTGTGAATTAAGTTTTAGTTGAGGTTAGGGTTAGGAGTAGATCAGCACTGGTTATGGTTAGGGTTTGGGTATGGGTTAGGCATGGTGAAATCACAAAAAAGAATGGAAGTCAATGGAGGGTCCGCACTATGATAGAAATGTGTGTGTGTGTGTGTGTGTGTGTGTGTGTGTGTGTGTGTGTGTGTGTGTGTGTGTGTTAGTGTGTGTGTGTGTGTGTGTGTGTGTGTGTGTGTGTGTGTGTGTGTGTGTGTGTGTGTGTGTGTGTGTGTGTGTGTGTGTGTGTGTGTGTGAGTGAGTGTGAGAAAGCTGGTTTCTCTCACCCAGCTGTTTCTCTTCCTTCTGTGCGTTTGATTCTCCCCACGTATCTTTTGCCCACATTTCTTTAAACCTTAGAGAATAAACTTCAGTTATGGATTACGTTCTAAGACTTGTCCATGGAGTGACGGGGTTGGGCCTGAATCTGTGGACCATCCAGAACACATAAATAAATGACTGCATGCACCAGACAAGTGGAGCTTTACCTGTTCAAAACATCTTTCAAATGAATGTTGTTTTATTTTAAAGGATAACAGTTTAGCTGTGCAGTAGCGTACATATGTCAGAAACAGATGTAGAATAATTGTTCGAGTCAAGCAGTTGATTAAAATATTTAGCATTTTATCAGCTCTTGCAATAGGTCTGTGGCTTAAAGCAGATTCATCAGCTGAATGACAATAAACACAACATTTTAAAATATACCAACAGTTGTTTTGTAACATATAATTCCTCCAAATCAACTTGGTTAACGTCTTTAACTGCTCAGTGTCCCTGCAGGAGAATCGGTGTTCTGGTTCCCTCATGTGGGTTCCTCCTGCCAAAAGAAATAAAACATTGTGAAATGACCCAACCTTAACTATTTGTAGGTGCAAGAAAACACTTTTGCTCTAATATGAGAGGATGTTTAGAAATCTGCTCTTTGTTTGTTCCAGATGATGAGAAGCGTCTGGTTGAAGAAGTGTTTAACAACGCCGTGGACTGCCTCTCCGACGAAGACAAGAAACTGCCTCAGGTAAGCAGGACGGGCTGCTGCACGTTTTCCTCCTCACCTGAGGAGTGTGTTGTGTTTTCTAACACCTGGACGCTGTAAAAGATTGTGTTTTTCTCAGAGTTAAATGGGTGCACGTGTATTCATGCAGGCTCAAGCTCTGAGCTGCAGGCATGTGCATGTTGTAGAGGTCACTGAGCAGATTACTGCAGCATGTGCTGTGGCTAAGCCAGCGGTGTTCCACTACAAGAGTTTCTGCTGCGCCGATTATAATTACTTCAGTCTCATGAGCAAAGTATTAGATTTAAACTGTCACTAAGTTATTAAATTAATGATCTTCTGGCATCCTACAGGTGGAGCATGTGTTGCCTCTGTTGAAGAGAGGGATAGGGATCCATCATGGAGGCCTCCTGCCGATCCTCAAAGAAACCATAGAGATCCTCTTCTCTGAAGGCCTGCTGAAGGTGATATGTTCTTCTAAACACGGGAAAATAACAAAAAGGAAAAGAGAGAATTTAGATTTTTCTGGCAGAAATTTCATTCGATTAACTTCAAGGTGCCAGCATGAATTTGTTTTCTTACAAAAACACCAAATGATGATTCATTTTCCAGCCTTACTTTGATTTGCCGTTACTCCACAACCTTTGAAACGGGTTTTTAATAGTCCACAGTGTTATTACGGTAAACTTTTACAGGAAGCAGGCAGATCAGTTCCTCTGTCTCTTCCGAACGATGCCAGAGGAAGGACAGAAATGAATGACAGATGACCGTAGCTGTATAACATCGGCCGCAGCAGCACCACAGAAACAATAAACACCTGGAAAACGACCACATGCTCTGCTCCATCAGCGCAGGCATTGGGCTTCTGTGAGCTCCTACCCCCTGCCTGTGCTTGCTGCTACCTCTGTAGCACTTTTTGAACCTGGGGAAGGCCCCTGATGTGTAAACTATTTGACACCACAGATCCTGGATCAGTCGGGAACGCTGCATCAAACCGCAGTTTTGATGATCACATGATCTTGTTGTTTCAATTAGAAAACGATGGATTGCCCTGCCCTAATAGGGATGTGCTAATATGAGACTTTAGGCCGATATTGATATCCAGTATTGATGCTGATGTTATGGCCAATAACTGATATTTTTTAATAACATTGATATTTTAATAATTTTTTAACTAATTATATACATTTCCCTTTTCGATTTTTCAATATGTTAAAAATGACCAACAATCATATTGATGTCGTTGCCAATTTTGATCAAAACTATTAGACCTAGTTAATTAAACTCCACATTAAACCAGTTTTATAAACACATCGTGTGGGAAGTTAAAGTTTGAGTAACAAAATACATTAAATGCATTCAAATCAACCTTAATTACATGTTTATGCTCTGTTTAAAATCAAACATCAAACTAAAGTTAATCAAACAAATCCATCTGTGCTGCGTACAATGAGATCTCAGGACTGTCATGGGATTCAAGAGAGAGATGTTCTGTCCAGTGTCAGAAAGCTTGGTCCCAGTCGCAGGTCATGGGTCTTGAAACAGGACAATGACCAAAAACACCCAAGAATGGCTCCGAGGAAAACACTGGACTATTCTGATATAGCCTTCTATGAGCCCTGACCTCTGTCCTGTTGAGCATCTTTGGAAGAAGCTGAAACGTGCTGTTTGGAAAAGGCACCCTTAAAATCAGAGACAACTGGAGCTCATGAGGAGTGGGCCAAAACACCTGCTGAGAGGTGCAGAAGTCCCATTGACAGTTACAGGAATCGTTTGATTGCGGTGATCACCTCAAAAAGGTTGTGCGACAAAACAATGTCTGACTTTCATTGGTTAAATTTCATAGAATTTTTATTTATTATAACTTTTGTTGGATTGAAGTTCTTTCTTTGACCATTGTGGGTTTTTCTTTCATTGACCGAAGGGTACCAACAATTTCGTCCCCATCTGTATATTTACTAGGGATGTGAATCTTGGAGCAACTCACAATTTGATTCTATTCCAATTCTCGGAGTGCCGATTCGATTCGTCGATTCTCGATTTAAATCGATTCACAATCAATGTTAACAAAAAGTGTCAGTTCCAGGATCAACTACTTTGTTGTACAAGTTAGTTAAAGCTATGGTAAATTTTTATTTTACTTTAAACTGGTCATGCTAAAAATAAGCTAATTTACAAGGTAAACTAAAGTGATTCTAAAACTGTAAACAGACGCAATCTTTTGACAAAAAGGCAACATTTGTGCCTCATATTTCTTACAAAGGAAAATGTGTTCTCACATTTATCAATAACTTAAAATAAATACATGAGTAATCCTGAGTACTCACTTATCAACTTAGAAAATAAATATGAGAATATCTCAAATTTCTGAGTATGGAAAAAATTACATTCAAGTGCCCTCTTATCAGCAGATTCAAACATAAATCATCTCAATTTATGGGACCGCAAAAGTAAACGGAGTACTGACTCTCCTAACAAACATTAAAAAACCGACAAAAGTGTATCTCAAGCCTGTAACATTTGAGTTCTTGGAATCGATTCTGAACCTTTGTGAATCTATTCTGAATCTTTATAAATAAGAATCCCGATTCAGACTTGAATCGATTTTTTTTTGCACATGAATAACATCTGCATAATAAATGCTCTCAAAAGTTATTTTCAACAAAAATTCTTTTTATTTACCAGTTTATAATATTTAATACTTGCACAAAATTAAGATTTGGTTAACTTCAGTGGGAAATGTGGTGCATCAGCTGATGTTATTGATGACTTTTAGCATGCAGGTAGGGTGGAAAACGTCTAGATGTCGGCTGACTATGACCTCTACATATCGGTATCAGCAATATAAAAACCAACATCGGTCGACTTCTAGTTAGAAACCGGAACTGGGAACATTTGTGTTTTATTGCTTTTTCCTTTCATTCCAGGCCTTGTTTGCCACAGAGACTTTTGCCATGGGTATAAACATGCCGGCTCGGACTGTGCTCTTCACCAGTGCACGCAAGTTTGATGGCAAGAGTCACCGCTTCGTAAGAGACTTCCTCTGTCATTAATAGAGTTCACCTTTTCAGGTTGAAATTATATTCTGGCACTTTCCATCGTTTTTGATTCTTAAAGAGCAAGTCACCCCCTACCAGAGTATTACTCCACTCCCACTTCCTGTTTGAAAAATGCAACAAATGCTTTTGCCTAGCAGACCGAGAGGGCGGAGCCGCTAACAAACACACACACACACACACACAGGCTCACAACGACATTGTGACATCATATGGTACCAGCTAACATTCTAGGGTACCTCTTAGCCAATAGCGATGGCAGATTTAAATTCAAATGCAGTGCAGAGTTTTTACCTGACAACAGCACAACACTGACAGTTTTAGGCAGAATATTTAAATTTTAACTAAAATGCACTAAAGTGCTAAACTAGCACGATTAGACACATATTTATATAGTTTATCAGAAGAAATAGTTGATTTGGGGGTGACTTGCTCTTTAAGTAGATATTTGTAACTTTGCAAAGTCAATCAGGGATTCTACTGTAAATGCAACAGTCATCCTAAAATGTTAAAGGCTCAGAAGAGAAAGTGAAGTTTGTGTATCTTATTCATTGTGAGGGTCAGTAAACCAGAACGTTTCCCACAAACGGTCCAGCTCTGGTTAGTGTGGAGCTGTTAAACAACGTGTTGCTCTGAAGCCTTTATAAGGTCTTCAGGCTCTGCATCGCCACATAAACAGCCACGTATTGTTTATAGGAGCTGGGGGCCGTGTGTGAAGCTGCTGTCTCACACACACACACCCACGCAGAATGAGAGGAAAGCTGCCCTCCTAAAAGATCATCAGGAACATCTGGTGCCTCAGATGGAGCCAAAGCTCCACGCAGGCACTTACACTTGAAAACACACCACGCTCAATCCTGAACGCTGTCTTTTTAAAATCTTTATGACATCTATGAGACGAGGATTTGATCATTTAAACACAGATCGGGTCCTTTATTTATAAAACCGAGCGGATAAATCGGGATTTGTTGGACATTTTTAGAGGAAGCCTAAAAATGTGCATGTTCTGGATTCCTGCGTATAAATGTTTTCTGTAATGCTTTTCTTTCTGCTCTTAGTTACTGTGCTGAGGAGTGGCTACGACTGTCAGACGAGGGAAAAAGATACACTTTGCAATGCAACTCTTTTTCTTTTCCTCTCCGTCTAGATTACATCAGGTGAATACATCCAGATGTCTGGCCGTGCCGGGAGGAGAGGGATGGATGATAGGGGGATTGTTATTTTCATGGTGGATGAGAAAATGAGTCCAGCTATAGGGAAGCAGTTGCTGAAGGTACGACCAGGCTGGATGCCATCACACTTTCATTACATGCACCTCTACTCTTTGTTTTGGAGAAATTTACCCATTTATTTAATTGGTTGAACCCACTTAGCAGCTTCTCCTGCTAGTCAGACCGTTTGTTGTTCTGATAAAACCTAGCAACACGGTGGACACATTTATAGCCACACTGCTATAAATACACAGGCGTTTGAAGCCGATTGTGTTAGTGTGTATTGTTTGTTGACCTTTTAAAAAGAAAATCTGTGAATTTGTTGCAGTTTAAAAGATTATTTAAAGTCTTCCCAGTTTGAGTTTGAGGGAATGACTTTTACGTGTTAGCCTGAGTGATCCCAACTTTATATTCTAGTCTGTTTATCTTTTTGTTGTCATTCTGTGTAGGGCTCAGCAGACCCTTTAAACAGTGCCTTCCACCTGACCTACAACATGGTGCTCAACCTGCTACGTGTGGAGGAGATCAACCCAGAATACATGCTGGAGAAGTCCTTCTACCAGTTCCAGCACTACCGGGCTCTGCCCGGCGTGGTCGACAGTAAGATTTTTATTATGTGTGCACGTTCCATTCTCAACACTACCAAGGCAAAGATTTCACAGCTGTGCACTGCGGATTAGTCAGATTATTGGTTGTTTTGTGCAGAAATAAAGACACTTGAAGAGCAGTACCACACCATTGAAATCCCCAATGAAGAGAGCGTGGTCACCTACTTTAAGATAAGGCAGCAGTTGGCCAAACTAGGTAAAGAAATACAGGAATTCATCCACAAACCCAAATACTGCCTACCGTTCCTCCAGCCTGGGCGACTAGTGAAGGTATGCCGACCCAGTCACAGTCCGACCGGTGAAAGGTTTGTACATCTAACTAAAAGCCAAACTCGTTGCTCTGGTGTTGCAGGTGAAAAATGAGGATGCTGACTTTGGCTGGGGGGTTGTTGTAAACTTTTGCAAGAAGACTAATGTGAAGGTGAACCAGATTAACTGTCATCTATGCTTTTATTTTTCTATTGGTGTGTTTTTGTGGCTCATCTGATTGTTTTTTTCCTCACAGGCAGCCACAAACTCTGAGCCGCTGTACGTGGTGGAGGTTCTGCTTCACTGTAGTAAGGAAAGTGTCAAAGATGCTGCTACTGAAGCAGCCAAACCTGCTGCTGCAGGGGAGACTGGAGAGATGCAGGTGGGTGAAACCACACAAAAGCACTGTCACTGTTTCTGCACACACACACGAGCACCGTTTAAATCTCCTTTGTACTCAGGTGGTCCCAGTGATGCTCCATCTCCTAACATCACTCAGTTCAGTTCGTCTCTACATCCCTAAAGACTTGAGGCCCTTTGACAACAGGCAGCTGATGCTCAAGTCCATACAGGTATGCACTAAAGATACAGGTACTAGTGTGGTGATGAACTTCTCCTTACTGGTAACTTCAGTCTACTGGAGCCTGAAGGAAGGCCTTGTGCAACAGTTCTCGGTCCTGGAGGGCCGGTGTCAAGACCTAGTGGATCAAAGCTTTAATGTCGGTGCTCCTAAACCAAAGGAAACTATACTGTTGACTATAAAGCGATGTTGTAGCTGAAATACTTGCATATAGAACATTGATCTGATTGATGAGGATCAGGCTGGTTCTGTTCCAGGAAGAAAAACGCATGATATCGTTCTCATGATCGACTCGAAGAAAATGGAAGCTGTCCTGTAAAGCTTGGATGCCTAAAAGGCTTTTTAACAGCGTAGATTAAATAGCTTTATAACTAGTAATTTAATTTATTCTATCAGTGATTTTGTCCTATTTTATCTTTTTTCTCAAAAGATGAGAAGAAAGTTTGAAAGAATGTCCAGTTTTAATTTTGTTTTTTTGGTTAAAGCTGCAAAACGCAAACAGGGTCACGAAACACTCACCCGTCCTGTCGGGTATCATCCCTGGGCAACGTCCGCTGGAACTAGAAAGCCTTGCTGCCAGAGGAAATAAAAAAAACGCTCTAAACACCAGTCGCCATTTTCTACGTCCAAACGTCTCTTCTTGTCTGTGACTTCAAATGGTGTTTTTCTTTTTGGGACTCTGGTAGTTTGCCCTAAAGTTGAAGTGGAAGCAGCCGCTGTTTCTCCTTCTCTGGTGTTATCGAGCGGAGAACCTCACACACCACCGGTGTTCTGTTGCAAAGTGCACAAGTGCGTAATGAGTGGAGGACCAGGGAAGTGTGGCGGATCGGCGAGACTGACAACCGGGTGGTCCGGTGGCTGCTTTCAGTCCGAGTCGTGTTATTGGCGGAGGTTTTTAGACAAATGCGAGATAAGCACGTTATTCATTTTTTCGTTTTTTTGTTTTTTTTCCCCTATTCCCACATTTAATCACGATGTTGGAAAGTTTAAGAGGCATGGAAAATGTTTTAGCTAGCTTCTTTTGCAGATTTGCTATTGCAGCTTTAATGGTGTTCAACAACACAACAGCATTTACGTTTAAAAATAAAGACTCTTTCAAAAACCAATCGTTTTGTCTTCAGGAGGTGCAGAAGCGTTTCCCAGATGGCGTTCCGTTGCTCGACCCCATAGATGACATGGGCATCAAAGACCCTGCACTAAAGAAAGTGATTCAGAAGGTGGAGGCCTTCGAGCACCGGATGTACACCCACCCCCTCCACAGCGACCCCAATCTGGAGTCGGTCTATTCTCTCTGTGAGAAGAAAGCTCTGGTAAGAAACAAGTTAAACGTCAAACCTCAGGATGTCCGGGCACTCGTTATAGGCTTCTGCTGCTTTTGGATTAGGTTGTATTGTTTTAACAAAACAATTTTAGTTAGCTCATGGTCACTGACCTTCTGCTTTTCTTTTGTTTCTAATGAGATCCTTAAAAAAACAGGAAGAAAGCAAGGACGTTGTTCCTACACCCGCAGACGTAGGTCGCACCGCACAACTGTTCCTGGTTAAAGGACAAAGTGCAGGATTTTATTTTATCACGTAGGCTTTTGTTGTTACGTATCTTACCACATAAACAACATTTTAGTTTGTTTTTCTAGCAGCACATATGTTTTCTGTTACCTCAGTCACTCCACCAAGTAAAGTAAACCAGTTTAGCACAAGTTACACATAAACTAGCTGAAAAAGGAAAAAGCTGAAACACGATTTAACTTTCTCACACAGCTTTACTTTTAAGTGATCAACAACTTGAAACATTGATCTGGTCTCCAGGTTAACTTTACTTATGACTGGATAGTAATTAGCTCTTTATTGTTGCTTAATATTTGTATCAGTTATGGCTGTTCTTTAACTTTCATTGTCTGATAGGGATGACACTTTAACACCCTGTTGCTATGGCTACCCGAGTTCCTATCTGTTCACTCATTTACAACCCCAGCATAATTTTGTTCCGATTTTAGATGTAATCATGAATTAAACTCATCATACAGGCTTGTTTGTAAAGATCTTTGTTCAAAGACCAAGCTCGTTTGTTTTTTCTGCACTTTTGCAGTGGTTTCTAGTGGAGGTCGACCGATCTTGTTTTTCTATTGCAGATACCGATGCCGACATGCAGAGGTCAGCTGATGGCCGATGTGTGCTGCTGATGTTCATGGCATTTATATCTAGATGTTTTCCATCTTGTTTTCATGCTAAAATGGTTTTAACCAATTGTGAAGTCTTAATTTTGTGTTCCAATCAGACGTCTAACTGAAGTTAATTAATCAACCAAGTGTTAAATATTCAAAACTGGTATATAAAAATATCTGACAGTAATTTTTAGAGCTTTTATTACACAGATGTTAGTCAGGAACCTAAATACGTATTTAAATACAATTCTAGAGCAGCACTGAGCTGCCCAGGAATGAGCCTGACTTTAAATTGGCTTTACTAAGGAGGTCAAGCCAAGGCATGGTAAAAATGGTAAATATGTTCTTGATATATTGGCCGACCGATATATCAGTCTACCCCCAGTCTTTAGTGTAAAGGAATGCCTTATAAGTAGATCTATGTGTGGGGGGAAAAGCTCAGGCGCTCCTGTTTCAGGAAATAGAAGTTAGCCAGAGCAGAGGGGAGCAGAAGGTGGCAGGATTTCCTGATATTCAGACATCTTGCCTCTGATTGGCTAACAGCAACTCTACCACCATCTCTGTTTTCTCTGCAACGCTGATGTTTCATCTCCACGTGGAGGATTGGTGGACCAACCAGTGCACACTAGCATGTTATTTCTGTTACTGAAAACAACCTGGTGACCAGTTAGGATGCATTCACACCTGCTTTACCGGATTCCCTCAGCTTCATTAGCCAAAGGAGGAAATAAGGCTTCTACTAATGTGGGTCTGAACAGTTCAGCAGTTTTGTGTGGAAAAAAGAGTTTAAGCAGCAAAACGTAAACATGTGTGTTCGTAATAAAGCTGGAGATTGTTCTCTCTCTCTCTCTCTCTCTCTCTCTCTCTCTCTCTCTCTCTCTCTCTCTCTCTCTCTCTCTCTCTCTCTCTCTCTCTCTGTCTCACCCCATCTCTCTGTCTTTCCCTGTGTCTCTCTCTTTTTCTCTGTTGCTCCCTCTCTCTCTCTGTCTCTCTCTCTTTCTCTGTCTCACCCCATCTCTCTGTCTTTCCCTGTGTCTCTCTCTTTTTCTCTGTTGCTCCCTCTCTCTCTCTGTCTCTCTCTCTTTCTCTGTCTCACCCCATCTCTCTGTCTTTCCCTGTGTCTCTCTCTTTTTCTCTGTTGCTCCCTCTCTCTCTCTGTCTCTGTCTCTCTCTCTCTCTCTCTCCCTCCCTCTCTCCGTCTCTCCAGGTGTTCAGTTTAAACCCAAACCATGGTAGTGATGTCACAATAACTATTTGTTTAACAAAGTAACACTGAACCTTTCAGTTGTGAGTCTAAAGAAACCAGGCGGGCAGTCATTTACTTCTTTCTTCATCTTGAATGATAAATCTGGTGAAGGCGTTGTACTGTTTGGCTCAGAGATGTTTTATAGTGATAAGAAACCGGCTGAGATGGGTGATGAATACTGTTGGTGCACGTCTGCAAGGCAAGCAGAAAGCATCTGTTGTCATTTTCATTCATACTCCTCTTCATCACGGGGACCCAAACACCTAATGAAGCTGCCAATTCTAACAGAGTCCGATGGTGCGGTGTGCTTTTGTCAGCTCTGGGACAGCCTCTCTGGACCGTATGGTAAACCTTATGACGTGTTGTTGTTTCAGATCGCAGCAGATGTTCGAACGGCCAAGCGAGAGCTGAAGAAAGCTCGAACCGTCCTGCAGATGGATGAGCTCAAGTGTCGGAAGAGAGTCCTGAGGAGACTTGGCTTCGCCAGTCCCTCTGATGTCATCGAGATGAAAGGGCGGGTTGCCTGTGAGATCAGCAGGTAGGCATAAACCGAGTCGGCTGAGGTGTGTCTGTAGTCGTGTTTGTGGTTGTGTCATTGCTGTCCAACTATTTATAAACAGCCATGAAACTACTTTGGCACACATTTAATTTTAGTCACAAATCTTTCAGAGGAAGGTGCACTATGGTAGTTTTCATTCCAGCTGTGGCGTCTGGATCGCTGACCGTCAGTGCTGAAGAGAGCAGACAAGTTCATTCTTAACGTTGTTATTGGAACAGCTGATTATAGCAGCAATTCTCATAATGACACCGAGCTCCGGAGAGGCGGACATCTTTGTTAATAATTTATGGACGCATTAACGAGTGTGGTCTCAGCACAGTAATGGCGGCTTGTGTTCCTTGTCCAGCAGCCAGTGGGTTAGCGTGTGTGTGTGTGTGTTGTGATTTAAAATGTAAGGCATTTGTCCCATTGTCTCAAACACACATTTTAGTTCTTTAGTCATTGTTTAAACCAACAGCAAGTGTGTGTTTCAGATCATGTTTTATTCTTTGTTTTAATTCTGCACAGCGCTGACGAGCTCCTGCTGACGGAGATGGTGTTCAACGGCCTCTTCAACGACCTGGCGGTGGAACAGGCTACTGCCCTGCTGTCCTGCTTTGTCTTCCAGGAGAACGTACGCCCGCGCGCGCGCGCACACACACACATCTTTAATTCTCTATACAAACTTTCCCAAATGCTGACCCAAACATCTGATTCCCATTCCCATGAAGGAAAGGTTCAAGTTGCATTCTTTGCTTCGTTCTCCGCTTTGCAACCAAAACAGAAACTTGAAGTAGATTTGTTTGTCTTGTCTAATGAAGCGTTTGCTCTGAAAGATCCAGTATCAGATGCTTAGGCTCCACGCCACACTACCCCTGTCCTGTCCTTTCTCTGTGTTCTCTGTAACCATGGAGACCACAGCAGGCGGCTGTAATTTTTTTAAAAATTAGGATCATTTATCCAACATGTGTGATTTAAAAATGCTGATATTCCTAATGGTAATTATACTTAATGCTCTTAGTTTTATGTTTATGTGTTCTGATTGAAGGCCAAGCAGAATGATTTCTTATGTTTACAGTTTTGTAAGTAAGATTTATTTTTAAAGCAGCTATCACAAATTAAAATGCAATTAAAAGCTAAAAAAAATAAAGATTTAAAGATCTTAAAACAAATGAATAAATATAATTTTAAAAAGATTTACGCAAAATAATTGTAAACAAAAGGGTCTTTAGCTGCTCAGACTGTCAACTCAGCGTTAGAATAAAGGAAGTTTGTTCCAAAAGGATAAAGAAGGATAGAGGACCAACAGCCTGCAAACCTGGACTTTCATGTCTGGTCTTTTGTTTCTCATTTGCAGAATAATTAGTAAACTGATGGAGATCCTGCTTTGCTGACTGACTCGTTATTTGCAATTCAAATGTTCTGTGACACCATTCTGTTGTTAGCCAATCAGAAGGTCCGACTGAACCTGTTTAACCTGTGCGGCGACTGAGCCGTTGGCTTCCAGAGAAATCCTCCTTTCACCTTTTAAATAATTCTTCAAATAGCTGAGATCTGTAGAGTTTTAAGCCAGCCAACGCCTCTCAGATCTAAACCATCATCTGCTGCTAACCTGTTTTTATGCTGCTTGGTGACTTAGTTTGTTTAGCCAGCAGCACGATCAGAACCATCAACAACACTGTCTGTACAAATCTGCCGACTGGACGATTGAAATCTGAAATGCAACACAATAGAAACACTTTTAGAGATATTTTCAGGTCAGAAGTCTTCCAGTACTCCCTCTAGCATCAGTTTGCGCTTTGAAAAAAACTCTTGTTCTACTTTTATAGTTTTGTTGTTGAGTGTATTCATCTGTTAATTAAAAAATACATTTATCTTTTTCTTACAGCCAGCAGATCCTCCAGTCGTGCTCCCAAAGCTCCAGAACAGAAATTCGTTACATTTTCCTTTTTGAGAATAATAATGAGGTTTTCGCCCTGCAGGCCAACGAGATGCCGAAGCTCACAGAACAGCTGGCTGCACCTCTCAGACAGATGCAGGTGAGACGACTCCGAGTGTAAGCGGCACTGATCAGGCTGACTTTTATTGGTGATGAAAACGTTCTTGTTGTGGGGTGCAGGAGTGTGCGAAGCGCATTGCTAAGGTCTCCGCAGACGCCAAGCTGGAGGTGGACGAGGAGACATATCTGAACCAGTTCAAACCCCACCTGATGGATGTGGTCTACGCCTGGGCCAACGGGGCCACGTTTGCTCAGATCTGCAAGATGACCGATGTCTTTGAAGGTCTGATGATGATGTCATAGAAGCACAAGAGCTTTTTACTTGTACTAAACAAGCGATTGGGTTGTTTTTTGGAATCTGACATCATGCAAAATACTTTTTGGCTTCAACTCTGATTTATGATGTAAGATGTTACAGAACACAGAAGGTCTTGTCTGAGTTGGGAAACGTGGGGAGGATTAATGAAGCGTGTGTCATTTCTGGCAAATAAATCGAGATTAACAAATACCCCAAAACATCTCCTTGTTAGTTTAACTGAAATAACTCTTTATTTTGACCCCTCAAGGTGTAAATACAGCAATTTTCTCACTGTCGTTCTGACTGTCGTGTAGGAAGCATCATCCGCTGCATGCGCCGTCTGGAGGAGGTGCTGCGACAGATGTGCTCCGCAGCTAAAGCCATCGGCAACACAGAACTGGAGAACAAGTTCGCAGAAGGTACGAAGCACATTTCATACTGGGATGAGGAGGTAGAAATGTTTGCTTTTTAACTGAAAAGCAGTTTTAATGATGAATAAATAAATAATCCAGTAGCTTAAGTCTCCAAACTAAAGCTGAAGAACTTGGTGGTGGCCACAGGTTAAGAGTTGATAAAGCTGCAGGCTGAAGTGATAAAAGGACCACGAGATTCGGTTTAATCACGAGTCGGCCAACACACGGTTCACAAGCAAATCCTGCTGAAAGTCCCTGGAATGTGTAAAGGGAAACATTATGCTGTGGTTCCCTTTGTCCCATTCTCAGTCAGCTCTGGGTGACAGACATGTTTTATACTGAACATCTTAGGTGTGTTCTTGCTGTGTCGTATTTCTAATTCCATGCTGTAGTTCTTTTTAAAACACAGAACAGTTTGTCAGCCTGAGGAAGTTTGCAGCCACAAACGAAACATATTTGGAAAACAGGTAACAAAACTGTTCTGTTTTAAAAACAGAACTACAGCATGGAATGTATTATACTGGAATGGTAGTAGAGGTGGACCGATATTGGTTTTTCTATTGCTGATTTCTAGACGTTTTTCACTTTTTCATGCTAAAATTTCACTAATAACGTCTGTTGATGCACAAAGTTTCTGACGCTGAATCAGTTTGTTAAATCTTAACTTTGTGCACCGCCCAGTGTTAACGTCAGACACCCAAATAAAGTTTAAGAGTATTTATTAAGCAGATGGTATTAGTTAATGTAAAATGCATTTAAATAAAATTCTGTAAAAGCACTGGGCTGCCCGAGGATGCGCCTGACTTTAATCGGCTTCTCTAAGGACAAATATCAGCCCGATATCGGTCTACCCCTAAATGGTACCATGGTAAATAAATATCAAAGCTAAATGTGGTCCACTAGAATATTTTTTTTACAGACTGAATGTTTTGAAAGTAAAATGTTTTAAAGTTGAGCAGAAAGTTTACAGAAGTTTGTGAGCTAACGAAATCCAGATCTATCTAGAATAAAGTCAACATTCAGATAAACCATAATAAGCCCGCCTTTTCCCTCTTCTGTCTGGAGCGGCTTCATTTCTCATCACCAATTATTCTGAAGCTGTTCTCTCAAAAACTGAATTTTACATTAGTGACAGTTAAAGAAAACCATTTAGTACCATGACTGTTTTCTTTCTGTCTCTGCAGGAATAACGAAGATCAAACGAGACATCGTTTTCGCTGCCAGTCTGTATCTATAGTCACATTAGTGATTCATTCGCCTGTTTTCCTGCTCCAACACAACCTTAGTTCCAAAAACGGCCTAAACCTTTCAGGTGGGAAAACTTTTATTTTATTTTCCATCTTGTTACCATGTGATCACACATTTAAATGACCAGGAAACATTACAAGTTAAAACTTTAATTTAGCTGTTTGCTTACATTGGTACGTGACATCATACATCAAACACATGCTTCACTTGTGTTAACGTTGAGTAAAATGGCTTCATTTCTCCTTGTTTTAGACATCTGTATATATATCTGTAACGTTGTTTTTCAATAAAAGTCTGTATGGTGATTTGTTGGCATACAGATTATACAAAAAGCACATTGTTGTCTGTTTACATTAAATACACAGCAGTCCAGCAAAGGCAACGCGGGCTTAGTCGAGGACTCTGCAGCTCTCTAACCAAACGTGATGCAGGTGAGACAGCTGGAGAGTGAGACAGCAGCAGCCTGGAGTCAGCACAGTAATGCTGCTGCACTCTGATCTAGGATCAGTTCTCTTCATAATTAACCCTGTGATGCACCTATCCTAAGGCCACATAGTTTAAAAACCCTTTAATGGGTGCAGGAGACATAAAACTGACCCCAAATCAGAATCTTGAGCGTGCTGACTCCAGGTCAGGAAAAGCACTAAAAACGGTTACATTCACAGGTTTCCACCCCCGTCCCATCAGTGGTCTGACCCTTTAGGAGTGGTGTGCATGCAGGCAGCTGTTCTTCAGAATCCCCATCCTTCATCCTCAGTCACTTCAGTGGGCAGAAGAGATAATCTCAGCAAGTTACATCTAAATAGGCCAAGTGGTTTCTAAGCTCTTTAAATGGAGCATCTGCTTTCCTGTAATCATGTAGAGGAACTGGGCAACATTAGTATAGCGAGCCCCTCTGGTCCATGCAGTGAACTGGTCAGGGATTTCAGATAGAAGCTTAGAGGCTGGGAGTCGTGTGCGTTCGGGACGAGCAGAAGATTCTGCTGCTCACTGAGGAAAGGCGGGACTCTCCAAGTGGTGTCCATTTGTGGGCGTCTCCTGCAGGCTGGTGTGAGGGATGTCGCTTTGTTTAGGGGAATCCACTCGGGGTTTGAAGAAATCCGATACGAAGAAGATCTGCAGGATTAAATAAAATGGTAGCAGCTGGGGTAAAATGTTTAAACTGTAGTTAGATTAAAATAATCTGTAGGGAAGAATAAAAGCCTCGTGGTAAACAAAGGGCACTCACCACCAACAGGGCCATCAGTGCGCCCTGCAGAAGGCCCGTCAGCACGTCGCTCCAGTGATGTTTGTAATCGGACACCCTGGACAGCCCTGTGTACACCGAGGCCGCGATCAGGAAGAACTGTAAGGTCGGCCTCAGCAGCCGCGCCCACTGCGTCTGAAGCCGAGCCTGCAGGTAGAGCTGGAAATCACACAGACGGGTTTAAAAATAAACACAGGCAGCCATGTGCATTGTGTTGGGAATGTTTATTTACTGCAGAACTCAAACCATCGCGACTCAGCACATTTTGTTTTCCAGATTCATTATTCTAACAGATTAGATGACCAAAAAAATAATAATTCTCTTTTTAAATGTTGAGGAAAAGGATGTCACATCACCACGAGCTTAAAAACAAGTTTACCGGATCATCTGGCTGCCAGAGCGTGGAAAAAGAATCCATCAGCTGGGCTAAAAAGGGCTTAACGGCATCTTAAGTAGAACAGTCTCTAGTTTACTGATCATGGTGTCATTTATCAGACATCATAGGTTCACGTTAAACAGGCGCTGCCTCCTAACCTTTGGCCCGACCCATGTTTGGGTTCCTCCTGCTGAACTTTGGAGCAAACGTTAAAGGCCGTGGCTTCTATTGTTGAACTTCTAGCACTGATGCCAGGACTTTGACCCTGGGTCTATTTATATCTACGCGTGTTGAATGAATGAGCAGCTCATAAAGGTCATCAGTAAAACCCAGTCGGTGTTACCGATACAGATCACAGAGCCGTGGGTGGAAAACCCAAGTTGGTAAACTGTATATAAAAAGAGCCGTCTCACGTATTTAATAATCTGCCTCCTCCAACCTACAATTAAAAATTTAACCAAACCACCAAGGGTGGGAATTAAAATGCTGCATCAGTGGCTTGTTCTCATCTTTATGTTGGTCCAGATAGATAATGGGCTTCAACATTTATAAAATGTAGCTTTTACTTTATAAATAAAGCCATTGACAGGGTCATATCCCCTTTTCCTACTTTTAAATATTATAATAAGCCATATGGTTGTTAAGATTTGTGTATTCCTGAGATCTGTTGGTCCACGGTTAACTCTGGCTTAGCCTCCATAGGTAAAGATAAGCTGCTATATTAGAATCATGAGTGTTCTACGTGGTGTTTGTGCTCAGTTCAAATCTAAAATTTTAATAAAAGAAAAATGTTCCATAAAGTCAAACATAAGCAGTAAATCCTGCTGAGGAGGATTCCAGAAGCCACCTGGTTGAGATACTCACAGCCAGGAACAGCATGCAGTACATGGAGAACGACGAGTGGCCGGAGTAGAACGACAACCTGTAACAGAAAAAAGAAATTAAGCTAGGTGTGTGTTAGACAAATCAGAGTGCATGAATGCACTCTGATTTAGAAACACACACACACACACACACGTTTCACAATGCCACCTTACACCAAACTTAATAATTTACTGTCCTGCTCCTCAGCAACTCGACACATCATTAGCTCGACTGCTGAGAATTAAAGAGCATGAACCGACAACCCGTCGCTTCACACCTAAACTGGACACCTCTACAGGTAACTTAGACACACATCGATGAGATCAATGCCCTTTAACCAAGGGCACCTTTTGTGGATTTTGAGAGCATTAATTATATTATGCTCAGATATTTTTCTGCTCGTTCTCAAAACGAAGTTCACATTCAAAAGTCCCTTCTTGTGTTCAAATATTTGCTCTCAAATCGACTCTTGTGCTCTTCAATTCAGACAAAAGTCCCTCTCTGGAATTTCAGTTCTTTGCCTCTGTTCTTATTAGGGCTGCACAATATATCGTAAATATATTGTTATCGCAATATCAGCATGCACAGTATGCATATCGCAAAGAACAGATAAATATCGTAATGAATGGTCAGCTCAAATGTTTGCTACACAAAATGCATTCTGTCAATCCAACGGAAGCATGATGTTTTTTTTAACAAACCAAATAGAGCCCTTCACCCATTTGGCCAATTGGGTGGGTTCTCATAGGTCAGATGCCCGGCCCCAAGGCGGACGGCCCTTAATTTTGATGGTTAGCAAACACCTGAGTTAGCTTCGTTAGCTCTTTTTGCTGATTCTGCTTTTCCCGGGATCCAGTGAGTCCCTTTTCTTTTTCATTTTTTTCCCTTTCCTCACATCTTTTACTTTACTCATTTTAATGATTTTTTGAATTTCTTTGTTTTTGATTATTTTTGTTCCTGAGTTAAGTTTTTATTTATCGCAAGTAATATCGTCATCGCAATATTAATCATTGTTATCGAATATCGTAGGTTTTCCTTATATCGTGCAGCCCTCGTTCTTATGGATTTATCCTACCAAAGGCCCCCCAGCCAATAGGAAGGCAGATAGGACACTGACCAGTGAGCTCTAGGTGGGCTCTTCCTTTATGACTCCCACCCTTAGCACCACACACACACCAAACCCACTTCTTCTATCATGGTGGGCACGCCACCTGACTATGTAAATAAAGAACGCACCCAAAAGAGGATTGAAAGCGCATTGGTCAGCGTCACATCTGCCATAGAAACGCCCTCACAACACAACACGCCCCCGACTAAAGGCAGGATATTAATCCCATAATCGTCCTCATTTTATATCTATTTAGCATTTAGAGTCTGTCTCTGCCTTTACAGTTCCTGGTAAATGTCCAGATAAACACATAACAGCCGATATTAACCCCACCTCAGCGACTAATGTAATATTAACGCATAATGTTCCACAGCGTCAGGTTAAACTGACTGGTGAGTAGCTGTATCCACCAAGAAGACAGCTGCTTCATCTAGAAATAGATTTCATAAATACAACTTCAGTCAATCCTCCTGTAAATAAACACAACTAGCTCTGACGACCAGCTCGTCTCCCCAGAGGAAGCAAAACTAAGCCAATGGAGTCGTGATGGTGTAAGATGATGCTGAGCAGGCCACCATGATCTGTTCTCATTCTAATGTGATGCTCCCATTAGTGTCTCTCTCACACACACACACACACACACACACACACACACACACACACACACACACACACACACACACACACACACACACACACACACACACACACACACACCAGCTGGAAAATTGTCTTCCTGACATTAGCCTTGAAGGCTCTGGTTATCAGACTTGAATCCTTCTCTCCAACTCCTGTTGGACGTTTCCGCTACACCACGTTAAAAAAGGCAGACAGCAGATAAGTAACGAGGCTCCAGGAAACACCACACCCTGTAAACGTACAGTAGAAAACAAACAGACGGGGGAGTGGGACCAGACCTCCCAAGCTTCATGTACAATGTCTATCAAAAGAGAAAAAAACAACAAAAGTCTAGAAGCTAAAATCGGGTTGCATTAAATTCTTCTCGCATCCCATAATAACCTGACACCGTGAACACTCCTCTGTGGTATAGCGGAGATCAGAATGAGGAGAGGAAATCCTCTCCTCCCACTGTTCTTCCCTCTCTGCTTGGAGCTGATAACATTCACAGCTTTCTAAAAACAAGCTTTTCATTCCTGTGCTGTGAGTCGGTCTGAGCCGCCGTGATCAGAGCAGCTGCTGCTGCCTGTCACATGTTTACATTTAAAAACACTGCTAACTACAGAAAGGCGTCTTCTGCTGATAGTGTGGAAGAGTTGGAATGTTTGAAATACACTGTCCAGCTAAAACCAGTGTTTTAATGATCTGTGGGATCGTTGCCAGCTGCTGGACTCCAACGGTGGGTGTAAAAACCAGTTCAGCTCCAACTGGGACAAGTCAAGCTGCTTTGACACGGCACGCTTAGACGACAGGTGCGTGCAGAGTAATTAATACGTCACTATGTGAAGGTCGTGACCTTCGTGAAATTAGCTCTTCCAGCTTGGAGCACCTTAGGAACTCTTTAGAGACTGTGTCTTCCTTCAGGGTTCATTTGGATTTCCAACACCTAACTTTTTTTGCCCTGGAATTTATTTAGCTTTTTAGGGACGTTAATGTTGTCAAATGAGAGATATCTGGGGTTGCGTGTCTTAACAAGTGCCATCTTGTTTAGTCCTACCTGTATACTGTATATAAGGAGTACTATGAGTATTATGCTACTAGATGAACAGGATCTGAGGACGTACCTGCCCTCATTGGCCATTTTTGGGTCTCCAGTGCAGGTGAAGCTTTCGATATACGCCCCCGCCGAGCAGTTGATGAGGCTCCAGTCAGGTTTGCACACGTTCAGGAAATGCGGTCTGAGGCGGCCAATTGAATACTTTGCGATGTCCGTCAGGGACTGACTCATCGCTGCACCAAACAGGAAGGTACCGATGGCTTTGTAAACACGGGCTACGTAGCTGCCGAATGATGACTTGGATTTGAGGCGGTGCAGATAAACTAAAAGGCACTCGCCAACGACCATCTGCAAGAGAAAGGACAGAGTCAGAGGCTTGTTTGGGTGCAGCTGAAGGAACATTAACATTAGAATAGAATAATTGGGCCGATATAAGTAACTCAAACATAAATAACCTTACTGGTTTAACAGTTTCAAACAGAAACCATTAACACAAACATGGTTACTCTGATTTTCTCAGCAAGCAGATTAAAGAACAAAGAAACAGTGGATACAAAAAGACAGAAGGACTAGATGCTGAGTCATCATTTGGATAAGAACAACTGAGCCTGATTAAAGCCACTTAGTTAACACAAGCAGAAGACTGACAACACTATTTCATTTTGGCCTCAAAAATGTGGCGTCAGGAAGATGTCCACTTAAAACTTTCACAATCAGTTTTAATTGTAATGGTTTGTATTAGGGATGAACCGATATCTCGGGCTGATATTTGCATTTTTTATGTTGGCATTGGGCATTATACCTCTTTTTTAGGGATGCAATGGTACGTGTATTCATATTCTGATTTTTCAGTACAGAATCTTTGCTTCGAAACAGACAGAGTTCCCACATGGGCGTGTAACTGTGCTGAACACATTAGCCCTTAGCTAGCAACACAAGCTGCATTGTCCAAATTCAGAGGCAGCACCCTTCGACCCAGCTTACCAGGTCAACATACGCTGGTGTCAGTAGCAGACACGAGGGTCATCTGTTGACCAGGAAGACTTGAATGAGTGGCTGTAAAATTGGACATCTGCAGCGTATGTCCTGCCCTGTTTGGTTTTAACACCGAGCACAAAATTAAGATTCAAGAGTTTGTTCAATTTAGGCCTAGTCCACACGTAGCCGGGTTTTTTTAAAAACGAATATCCGCCCCTCCAAAAACTTGCATCCACACCACCACGTTTAAAAAAAAAAACTGTCCACACGTACCCGGATAAATACGTTGTTAAGGACATGCCAGACCTGTAGGCGGCAGTACTTCCCCCGTTCTTAACCTCGTCCTTCGTCTGTGGTCTTCCGCAAGGAGCAGCAATTCCGCTTGCAAAAACAAACAAGCAGAAAGCGCTTGGACAATTGATGGATCGGGTAGTGACAGAGCGCAGCTCTGAAGGCTTCCATGATGCCGGCTAATGTAAACACAGGTCGCACACGTGATGTCAGCATTTTTTGTCGCGGAAAGTGACGTTGCGGACCTTAAAACTCCGGTTTTGTCTGTCCACACGCAGACACCCAAAACGGAGAAAACGCAGATCTTCACTTTGGCCGGAGTTTTTAAAAAGATCCGTTTTCGTGTGAAAAAACTCCGTTTTCGTGTGGATGACAGGCCAAAACGTAGAAAAATATCTACGTTTTGGCAGATCCCCGGCTACGTGTGGACAGGGCCTTAGTGTTCAAAAACTGATTCCAGTTCAGAAACGTTGTCCATCTAGTTTTACTAGAGACATTGCAGCATGCAGGTAAGTTGGAAATCGTCTATCAGCCATCAAACTTCTCGTCTCTCGTCTCGTCTCGTCTTCCTCCGCTTATCCGGGTCCGGGTCGCGGGGGCAGCATCCCAACTAGGGAGCTCCAGGCCGTCCTCTCCCCGGCCTTGTCCACCAGCTCCTCCGGCAGGACCCCAAGGCGTTCCCGGACCAGATTGGAGATGTAACTTCTCCAACGTGTCCTGGGTCGACCCGGGGGCCTTCTGCCGGCAGGACATGCCCGAAACACCTCCCCAGGGAGGCGTCCAGGAGGCATCCTGACCAGATGCCCAAACCACCTCAACTGGCTCCTTTCGATCCGGAGGAGCAGCGGTTCTACTCCGAGTCCTTCCCGAATGTCCGAGCTCCTCACCCTATCTCTAAGGCTGAGCCCGGCCACCCTACGGAGGAAACTCATTTCGGCCGCTTGTATCCGCGATCTCGTTCTTTCGGTCATTACCCAAAGCTCATGACCATAGGTGAGGATTGGGACGTCGATCTACGCCATCAAACTTGTCCCAAAAAATTACCGTTAGCTCGAGAAATCGGCATCAGCAAATCCCCATATTGGTCAGTCTCTAGTTTATCCTAAAACATTAACTGAATAGATATTTGTTAGTTTGCAGAATGAGAGGAGTTCTAAATGAATGACTCACATCTGTATTACTGTGATCCTTGTGGTTTAGGATTGTAGATATCTAACTGCCCATCAGTGCTGGCAGAGAACAAGCCCTCGAGGCTCAAACAAAAAAAAATAAACATTACATCAGGTTTTAACAATAAACTTAAATGTAAATGGAGTTAGAATGACACCCTGTGGTTAAATGTGGGTACTGCAGCCCATGTTTCAAAACAAACTTCCAGTTTTGTGAGTTTTATGGTTGTTGCCAGTTATGGCTCAGCACCAGAAGATTCTAGATGACCAGTGAAGAAGAGTCATACAAAGTAACTTGAGTACATAAATACGTTTCACTGTGGAATCGAGTTGTTGGTAATTGAAAAAGTTGCATAAGATTTTTTTAGGGTTGCCTATTTGTTTCTAATTTACCATTAGCATTGTGTGCTCAGTGTTAGCCTTTAGCTTTCTCTACATGATCTTAGAGTAAAACAAAAGCATACTGTGGGTTCACCTACTGCACACTGGAAGCAAAAGCGGTGCAAAACTGCAGCGGAAAGGTTTACTCGCGACAGCACTCAAGTGCACACCGGAAGAGTCTCAGCAGTGAAGCGGCTTCTCTGTCGCACTCCTTGCTCAACTGGCGAGATCACAAAATCCCTTGAGACTTCCGCCAATCTCCTCGCGAGATCACACGATCCCTCGAGACTTCTAAAGTCACAGTTTGTTTATGCAATCCACCATTTAAACAAAAAGAAGTAAATCACGTTTTATATCGCTGTTTGATGTCATTGATGATCTTGTTCCTCTCCACTGCCAGGATTAAAGCCATGAAAACGCACCGCTGCACTTCTGGAACGATGCTGTGAGTAAATAAGCCGTTAGGTCACATGTAAGCTTCATATATATGAAATTGCATCGCTGCAATACTTTTATTTTGAAAATTACCAGGGATTTTACATTGAAACCGTGTGTGATTTCCTGTCTAGCTCTATGTTGGCTGCGGTAATCGACGCATTCCAGAAGCGGCTCCCAGAAAAAATAGAACCTGATCTTATCAGTAGCGGCGCAGCGAGCTGATTCTGGGTCATGTCTGAAAATTTCCACGTTGCGGCTGGTTTGCGACACTCCATTGACTATAATGGAAGCTGTGCCATTTTGCGGCCGTTCCGCGCTGCTTTTGCTTCCAGTGTGCAGTACGGGTTAAGGGTCACAAGAAATAATTTCTGAGCCACTCCTTTAACTGCTTTGTTTACTTTCCACATGTCTAGTGTTTGCTATCCACTGGTGTTGAATTACAAATGCCGACGCAGCAGCGTTAGCTGGTGTAGACTTGGCAACTTTGCGGGCTCACCAGCTGTAAACAATGACTATGTCCCTCTTTGGCTTTTTTAAAAGACAAAAACTGACAAATCTCCAGCTGGCTGAGAAGGACATCTCTTTCAATTTAGCCTTCTTTGCTAAGATTTTGACACAATTTTGTGATGATTTCATTGTTAAATTCGTATTTATCGCACCTTTAAAATAACTGAAATACCACTGAATGCATCTGAGTCCTTATAACATTTTATTTTTAAAGGTAAAGACTTGTTAGGACTTTCCCATCTGGTCTCATTTTGTACACGCCTCCTGTCGCTCTGCATTCTTTTAAGGGAACCAGTTTCAGTCTACTATCTCTTCCTCTGTGGTTTAGGGTGAAAACATTTAGTACAGCATGCTGTTGGAGAATGAACTGCTGTTAAGAGCCTGCTAAGAGAAGTTTCATGCAAACAATCTGACAAAAATGAATACTTAGTAGGAACAATGGATCAAAATGTGAAAGGGGAAGGAGCCAAACATCAGGAATGTTAAAAGGAAGAAGATGAACAGAAAAAGTGGGTTAAAGAAGGGAACTGTTAACAGAAATAAAACACTTACAATCAGTATTGTGATGGGAATCATAACAGCTCCTAACAACTGATAGGAAATGGTGTCCTCTTTAAGGGGGTACCTTATGGAATCGTCATTACAGAAAAAGCCTCTGCGATAAGGCTGGTGCAGCAAATTGAGGATCCCAAAAGGGAGCCCAACTAGCAGAGAAGCAACAAGAGAGACAGAAAACACAAGTTATTATAGGAGTTCCGACACCTTCCCATCACGCAACAGGACACAGCAGCCAGGCGAGAGGATCCCACAGAACGGTGCAACCTCTGAAGCATCTTCACCCACTCCTCAGAAAGAGTGTTACTGGTAAAGATAGATGAATGCTGGCGAGGAGGGGGTGTTAATGGGAAAAGAAGGTAAAAGCACAAAAATGTAAATGTTACAGGTGCTTCATCTCAGCTGCGTATCTGCGACACACAGCCCATCCACCTTCCATCCTCCCACAGAAACAACAGCTCGAATCCAGATGATCATTCCAGTTATTTTAGGAAACGGCGGCGCTGCCTGCATGTCTGTCTCTGATTAATAACAGCAAAGGAAAGTTCATCCAACAGATCGACTTCAAACTGATTCATTAAATGAAACCTGGCTCCTGATGAGAGTTTCAGGGTGGAAATCTAAAAGTCACATGTTTTGGTTTCAGTGAGAAGTTAAAACAAAACAAGTTTCAGTGACTGAATTCATCCAGTTTGAATTTTTAATAATGTAATAAAGATTTTTTTCAGTTTTTAAGTGAACATCCTCCTCGGCCGTTGGCACACCTGTTGTATGCTGGTGTTAACACGTCTACAAACATAGTGAGCGTCGTAAAGGGCCCTGCTACTTACGGAGACAATAGGCAGGGTTAGGCCTACAGAGTACAGCACCGTGGAGGTGATGGTGCTGCTGTGGAAAGGGTAGCTGATGCTCTCATCATTACAGAAAAAGCCCCTTTGGTAAGGGCGGACCTTACCCAGGTTATAGGCTGCCATAGGCAGCGCTCCTGTGGAGGGAGAGATCAGGGCCAGTTACCACAGGAATAGGTCCAAAGATTTTCAAAATAAAATGCATCAAAACATCTTTCAGGTGGAGTCAGAGCTGCAGCAGTCTTACAAACCAGAAACATTTTCAAACTATTTTTATTCATTTCTTTAAAAAATATATACATTTTTCCTCTCCTTCCTCAACAAAAAAATAATTTTAATGATTTTCTTTTACTGGGAAACATCAGCTTTGTCGCAGTTTTCTACCAAAGTATGTGAATCTATTAACTATATGTGTATAATTATACATTTCCTGATTAAGTAATCACTCTGTGATGAAAATGATGATGTATGAAGAACCAAATCAAATTATTTATTACTTGGTTCATCTTGTTGCCATTTTAATTCCCAAAAGGAAAGAAAAAGTGCACGACTGAGCTCAGCCTGATTTTCTGCAGCATCATGTCTGGAACGGTGACATCGTAAAAGCAGTGACCTAAGCTGTACAAATGTGTTTTAAAAGCAGCTTTTGGAGCTTGCTAGTATAAAAGAAGCTGTGAATGGTGAAGCACTCCCCATGGACGAAACACTAGAAAGATAAGAGGCCGTGCTAATGGGTTGGACAGAACAAAGTCTACATGTAATGCTGCTGTCATCTCACTGGGGTTTGGCCAATTTAACTCATGGTGTAGCAGAGAAAATGGTTCGTCGTTCAAGAAGGAAATGAGAGTCACTTTTGAGCTGTAGTGAACATTTACAAGAAGCAACAGCACACACTTAAAAACAAAAAGGAGCTTTGTTAGTTAAATAAAATCTGTTACCCTGGCCAGCTTTTCTGCAATAATGGGTCATTTTTTTTCAGCTGTTGACCCCCACAGCTGTGGTTGATGGGCCACAACAGCTGGAGGGGGAGAGAAGTGGAACAGAAATGCTCTCGGGCCATCAACGTGACTCCCATCAACGACAGCAAGCAGCCGCGTTGCACTTATTTTTTATTTTAATCCACACGACTGCAGCCCGAGTTTCCCCAGCTCAACCACACAGACACAAAAAATTTAACATTCAAACATACATACTCAGCAGCTCATTTGGCAGCTTACAGTTGCTGCATTAACCAAATAAATTCAGCTATGTGGGCTAAAACAGGACGAGCACTGTGTTCTCTGCTTCTTCATAATTACACACCTAATGAAAACATCTATGTCTTAGCCTCACTTTTAATCACAGAGCTCGGTTTGTAACACAGATGGCTGGTTGGGTTACAGATTCACTGAAAACAATCGATCCAAAGCTGGACTGGCAGAGGCTGCTGTGCACACTCACACTGCTGCCTTACTCATACTCAGACTTGACAGCCTCAGCATCACATGCAGCTTGCTGGCAACAAGCTATGAGTAAGCAGACACATGCCAGTGTAACAGAAAATGACTCAAACTCCTGAACATTGCTGAATCATTTTAGTCTTAATGACTTTCTGAACAGGAAATCAGTAGACGTTAGATTTTACAAACACACAAGAAGAAAACAGGTCTGTGAGTGGGAGTTAATCCTTTCATCTAAATACATCATTCTAGCAATAATGAGACATAAACCAGACAGATCTTAGTCTGAGATCTCATTTCTGCTTTAAAGCAGCAAGTCATAAATGCATCAGGCATGTGTCATAAAGTCCCCATGTGATTGAATGAATCAGTCAATGGAAACAGTAGCCTGGCAAGCGATCCTATGAATATATAGAATTGCAAGGCACGAATTTGGTCTAGTTCACTGGGCTAGAGAACCACAGCTAAATAGTTTTTCCTATAAACTAAACTCCTGCGACTGGTTTTACGTTCATAAATGCTCAAAAACATTAAACCAGCTAAAATATTTAAAATAAACAAGCTATTATAATAAGAGCTATAAAAACAGGTTTAAATAGAATCTGTTCACCACTGCCTCACGCGGTGGAAAACTGCTAAACCCCAGCAGGATTACGCCGCTAATCGGATTATAGCAGGCAGTCTACAACAGAGTTAAATGCGTTTAAACACATACCTAGAACCAGACAGACTATGTCCAGCAGGACAAAGGGGATTCCTCTCGCCTCAAACATGTTGGCTCCTCTCCGTCTCGGTGAAGAGACCTTGTCTGCCTGCTGCGTCCTCCTGCGCTTTAATAAACCTCACACGGGGGATGCTCCTCCTTGAGCTCAGCGTTTATGGCTGTCGTCGATTAGTCTGGGTCACGTTTGTGAGAAGAAGTCCGAGTGACAAATGTTTAAAAGAACAATAAACGTCAACAAGCTCGTTAAGAAACGAGAAAGACCACCCCACAGCGAGGCAGGAAAGCCGATAGTTACAGGCTGCTGCTAGTGTTGTTGTTGAGTGGAGGTGAGTTGTAGCCCGGCCTGTCGCTCCGCGTAAGCTTCATTGTGAAAACTCACAGCTGCTTAAAAGTTTTTAAATAAAACAGACGAACATTTCTCAGAAAACTGCGGTGGTTCGATCAGACACCTGCCCCGCTGTTGGTGTCAGCAGCCGGGTGAAACGCGAGCCGAAAGCGTGAGCGGGGCACTCCGACGACGTCACCGCGTACAGGCCTTGTGCTGCTTTCAGGAACCAAACAAAATGTCGTAAAACTGTAGTAACGCTCAAGAACCGTCTGGTCTCCTTACTTTGACAAGGATGTTACAAAAACAAAAGATGAATTGTACATTCACAAACTGCGGAAGATTTCATCACTGGGTAATTTTGCTTGTTTAATCTTGAGTAAAGTTACTATACTTTTACTGCGGATAACGGGAAACCCAGAGGGTCTTCTGTATCTGTTTGCCTTTTCAATGAGCTACAACATAGGACAGGTACTGTCAGTAGCATCTCTACAACAGTACAATCTTAGTAAACTTAGAAGAACTCTTCATAAATTCAATCAAGCTAATATCAGTACGAATTAGGGCTGCAACAACGAATCGATAAATTCGATGAAAATCGATTACTAAAAGCGTTGGCAACGAATTGCGTCATCGATTCGTTGTGTCGCACAACTCTTCCAAAAGCGCCCCCCCTTCCCGCCCGCCGTTGCGCGCAGACCAGAGCAAGTCAGATCAGCGCGAGGGAGAGCCGCAGATCAGCGCGAGGGAGAGCCGCAGATCAGCGCGAGGGAGAGCCGCAGATCAGCGCGAGGAAGAGCCGGCAGATCAGCGCGAGGAAGAGCCGCAGATCAGCGCGAGGGAGAGCCGCAGATCAGCGTGAGGGAGAGCCGGTACAGGCAGATCAGCGCGAGGGAGAGCCGGCAGACTTGAGCTGCTGCGAACCGGTTCCGCATTGTTGCACAGCGATCCAGGCAGCTGCTTCCAGCGCACGGTCCATTCTCAAAGTGGCGCAACCAAAAAACTATAATTAGCACACGATCGTTCATGTCCGCACATGTTCTCTATTTTCTGTCTTATTTGTGCCTGAAGCGCGCTACTGCGGAGCTCATCACCTGTGCTGTGGTGATGTCACCTCACGCAGCATCGAAAACGCGCTCTGCGCTTTTCGGTCAGGAGATCCCTTTGACCTGCTCAAAAGTAACTGATGAGGTGAAAAGGTAAGAATCCAGGCAACAGATTTTCTGGAGAATTAAGAGGAGATGCAGGAAGATGAGAGACAGACAGGACAGGAAAATAGTTCAATAAAAACAAGAAAACAAAACAAAGTGTTGAAAAGTCAAATGTAGGTAGATTTATCTCCACGACACGTTTTTACCAGTAAAAAACAATAAGTTATACACATGTCATAGTTATACATCTGATACAATTCAGATCACCTTCAAAACTCAGTCACACACCCAGGGCCGTTTCAAGACATTTTGGGGGCCAAGGCAAATGCCCCCCCCCCCCCCCCCCAATAACTGGGCTCCCCAGAAGCCTCTGTGTAATTCATGCCCTCTCCAGTAGTGTTAGTTATACGGTGTTTATAAAAGCCCCTCAGACATTACTGACATGCTCTAATATTATCAGATGAAAAACTAAATTATCAGACATGCTGTCTCATCTGCTTATTTTATAAACTTGCAAAAAGTAACAAAACCATTTGAAAGCCACTATTTGTGGATTCTCTGAAAGTTTCCATGGAGTTTGTGACAACTTATTTTTTCATTGATCCTATCGTCTAATCTCACAGTTGAAACAAGCATCCTTAATAATCTGTGCACAGGAAGCTTACCGATGCTGTAGTAAAACAAAAGGTATAATAATTTATTATTAATAAAACCTTGTTGCAGCACTAAAGCAGAAAAATTAGATTTTGCATTAAATATGCAAAATATTTACATATGAATTGTTTTAGAGCCCTTTAATTGGCAGAATCTGATATTAATTTAGTTCTTACAAAAAATGGGTCCCAACATGGTTTGTGTGGCGTTGCCATAGTGTGACGTCATAGGCACAGATCCCCTGTCCTCTTGTTTGGAAATGGAAATATGGTCACCCTACATTAAACAAACTGTCCACCCGGGCTTTTGCACTGCACAGAGACGCTTCGCTGCCTACGACTGAACGTCAGTTGAGAGTCAGTCTCATGCAGACTGACCAATGAAGAGAGGGCCTCAAGTTAAGACCCTCTCCTCATTGGTCAGTCCACACGAGGTGGGTCAAAGGTTACTCTGGGCGGGTTACGTGTTGTCAGGCATTCAAGTATTGAGTATATTTACTGCATATTACAGTAAAATATTCTGTATGTGACCACATTATGGTGATCCTTGGGTCGTGATGATGGAGCCCTTGAATATTGTTGCCCAGGGTACAACAAAGTGTTAATATGGCCCTGGTTCCGCCGTCACATTCCCGCAGAAACTGGTTGATCACACCGGGGCCAGACTACTAGCGTGTGGTTTTACAACCACAATGTCCTCGGAAGCAAAAACGCTTTTAAAAGGGAGGGAGGAGTCCTAACTGTTGCTGCAGGCGTGTTGTGTGAGAGTGCAGTTATATACTGGTTAATATATTTTTGGGTTCAGTTGCTTTCATGTGGCCTAATGTGAGTCTATTTGGGATCATTGGAATGATCAGCAGCATTTCTTGATGTGACTTTATGGCAGTTGCCCAGGGCATCATCGCAAGGAGGATGGCATTCATTTACTTTTGTTTTATTTGGTATTTTTTCAGTCATTTTTGGAAATAGTGATCAATTTTGATAAATTCACAGCCTATGTTTAATTACATTTAAAATAAATGTCAACAGATGAGATCAAACAAAACAGATGAGAATTGCCCTTAAGCTGTTTAACTTGGACCAAGCATTTTAGGTCACAGATAGATGTAGCTTAGGGTCTCTGTCTATACACCTTATAAGACAATTTAGGTGATGGCATGTTGTTTTTCTGCTATTGAACTGTTTTCTAATAATGTTGTGTTAAATAAAGTGAAGGAAGGAGAGAAATAAGGTTTCCCTAGCAGTTTTTAAAAATTTCCCCATGTAATCCGATTAATCGATTAATCGTGTCGAGACCCCATCCGATTAATCGATTATCCAAATAATCGTTTGTTGCAGCCCTAGTACGAATTAAATAAATATATTTGGTCACTACGTTTTACCAGCATACGTTTGTATTTGTATTTGTATAATCAAACACTTCAGAAATTAAACTATCAGTTATTAGTTCAAGACCAATAAATACCCAACTACATCTAACACACACACACACACACACACACACACACACACACACACACACACACACACACACACACACACACACACACACACACACACACACACACACACAATACAGTGTGTGGCCAGTTACACCATATAAAATTCAATACATTTTTCCTGTTTTGTTCCTTGTCTAAATAATCTTTTAAGTTAATTACTTGTAAATTGTCATTTAATTTGGCTTATGGCCACATACTCTGTTTATTACGGGTTTATATGTTTTAAGTAGGTCAGCTGGAAACCTGATGGAAACATGAGGTCGCAGTCCTGGTTAACTTTGTCCGCCCTCTACTGGAGACAAGCGGTTACTACAGCTTTTATAAACCAACCCTTCAGATTCCTTCAAATTTAAACTTACCACTTACAAATTAAGTTGCTCAGTTTGGCCGGACGGCCTGCTCTAGGAAGGGTTCTGGTCGTCCCAAACATCTTCCATTTAGGGATTACGGAGGCCACTGTGCTCTTAGGAACCTTAAGTGCAGAAGATATTTTTTGGAACCGTGACCAAATCTGTGCCTGGCCACGGTTCTGTCTCTGAACTCTTCAGGCAGTTTCTTTGATTCTCATTTGCTCTGACATGCATTGTGAGCTGTAAGGTCTTATATAGACAGGTGTGTGGCTTTGCCAGTCAAGTCCAGTAAGTGCAAACACAGCTGGATTCCAATGAAGGTGTAGGACTATCTCAAGGATGATCAGAAGAAATGGAAAGCACCTGAGTTAAATAAATGAGTTTACAGCAAAGGGTCTGAATACTTAGGACTATGGGATGTTTCAGTTTTTATTTTTAAATAAATCTGCATAAATTTCTAAAATTCTGTGTTTTTCTGTCAATATGGGCTTCTGTGTGTACATTAATGAGGAAAAAGTTTAATTTAATTGATTTTAGCAAAATGGCTGCAACATACAATACCATACCACTTAATTCATATAGCACATTTAAAATACAGCGTGGAGATGGAGATGTGCCAGGTCCGGGGTGATATGGCTACGATATGGCATGCTGGATGATCTGCAGCTGGTTTCACAAAGAGTGAAAAATTTATGGGGATCTGAATATCTTCCGTGCCTACTGTAATCATTGTCAATCAAACGTAATCATTGTCAATCACGTTTTGACCCACTAAAATGACCTTTACTTCGTGTCCGTCGTATTTATGCTAATGGTGACTCTAAAAACCGTCTGAACTGGTCACACATGTCACGTTCTGGGGTAAGTGCCTAACCCAAGACATACAGAATCAGAATCGGAGGCGAGGTAAAAAGTAAACAATACTTCTTTATTAATGACGAGCAGAACTAAGGGCGCACTGGAGATCCAGCGGATGGGGGAACAGGAAGCGGCGTCTAGAGGGAAACAGAGTTGAGTACTGGGAATTGTAGTCCAGAGTGAATGTTTGTAGGCAGGACTTACGATGCGGAAGTTCTGGATGAATATGGAGGGAGAATGAGCCGGGGTGATATCCAGGGCAGAAATACCAACGGTCCAAGTGGGTGAGTGGAGTGGAAGATGATGATGAGGAGGAGGAAGCGGACAGGGGGCGTGATCACGGTGGAGAGCGGGACGGCTGAGCGGAGTTAGGAGTCCAGACAGCGAACCGGAGAATAATCCTTTCTTTTCCAAGACGGAGGAGGATCCAGAGGTGAAGCAAAACCTGAGGGTAGTAATCCAAAAACGAGTTCAAAGTTAAAACGAGTTCAAAAATTCACAAGAGTCAAATCGAGGTTCTAGAGGTTACGAAGGGCTAGAGACTACCAGTCACTAGTTAATCATCCGACGTCGAGTCAGGATAACCATCCTCCTTTTAAAACCGACCCGCTGATCAGGCTGATGAGGATAAGCTGCGCTCCCTCTCCTGCAAACAAAAAACTCAAAGATGGTGAATGATG